TCATTTACAGTTCGATTTCCCTTTTCACTTTCTCGTGCTATTTCGCCGAGACCATCGGTATCAACGAATGCTACGGTAACATCCGGATCCAAGAGATCTCGTAACCAGCATCTTCCCTTTTTTGGCTCGAGACAAATGGATTTTTGTGTACTGTGTAAGATACTACTGGGTGTGTGATGATTTGCTTTCAAAGCTTCCATATCGGGAATAACTATCTTACGATTAGCAACAGAAGTGCTACCGCATTTAAGACGACCGTTGTAAATGAGTGCATTGGAGAGAGCCATTACGTCGGCGTTCATACGGTATTGATGTTCGAGGTAGACGACGCTTTGAGGATGGGCATCGGAGAGATATTTGAAGAGAGAGATATCCAGACCTCCTTTACGGGCTTCTTCGTCTTTAACCAAGGGCGGAAGTTGGTTGTGGTCTCCGACAAGGATAAATGTGCGAGCGAGGCGAATGGGACCAACACAGACGGGTAGTGTAATTTGAGAAGCTTCATCTACTATGCAGTAGTCAAATGTACGTTCGTTGAAGATGGGATGGTTGATACCGAGGCAACTTGTGGCAATAATTGGTGTGTCATGCCAGGCACTTCGAATTTCTTCCATGGTTTCTTTAGGTTCGACAGCGAGTTTGGCAAATTCTTGAACATCGGGGTGAATCTTAGCTTTAGTGCCTAGACGTAGGATCGGGATTGAGTCATCGCGAAGTTTCAGAAGGATATTGTCAACAGCTGTATGAGTGTAAGAGGTGAGGAGAACGGATTTCCCTTGCGAAACAAGAGCTCGAATGATGTGAGCAATTGTTGTAGTCTTTCCAGTACCAGGCATACCAAGTACTAGAGCATAATCCTGTGCGGACATGACTTTTTCGATAGCACGGCGTTGATCCACATTGATACAAGATCGATCTTTGAGTGTATACTGAGTGGAATGTGGTTTGAACCGGGGAGGCTTGAGATCAACTACTAGACTTCGAATTTCGCGTGATCCAAATGGACCTTCGGTCATGATCTGGATGAGATTGTTCCGAACGGTAGCAAGACCATTACTGAATTCATCTTTATCGAGACGATAAAGAATTGGATCCTCTTTTATTTTCCCAATAGAGTTAGCTGGTGTAGATCCTTCTGCAGCGACTTCCATGATACTAGCAAAGACCTGGTTATTAATCTCATCAAATCCGGGTTGTCTGATGCGAGCATTGTGTAAACGCCGATCAACAGCGACTGTAATCCTGTTCTTGCGTACGTTTGTAACATAACCTTTGGCGAGAGCAAAGTGGCCCTTTTCATCTGAGATAACAATTGGCTCTCCTACTATTATCTGAGAGTCCATGAAGGAGAACCCGGGAGCTGCGGTATTTTTTGGTTTGATCATGGTGTATCGATATCGATTAATCTTTTCATTATTCTGATCTTCGTATGCCGATCCTTCCTCAATTATAACGTTCGAGAAACACCGACCAAGCTTCTCTCGCTCTGAGCTCAACATAGTCCATAGTTCTCGACGAAACTTCAAGGAATCTTTCTCTTCTTTCGTAAGAAGATCATCCCATTTGAGGAAGAACTCTTTATGCCTTGGAGTAAGATGCTTGACCACTTCATCAAACTTCTCTTTCATACCGCTTGTCTCTCCAGTTCCATCATCAGCCAGTTTGTGGTAAATGAAGCAGGTATTCTTCGCATAACACCTTCCACACATATTCTCCTTTTTGAGCATTGGTGGAAGTTGAGCATTTTTCTCACGGACAAAACACGCGAGCTCGTTCCGCTGCATGATCATATGGCGAAGTTCATGACGAATGGCGGGAATTCTAATGGTCTCTGAAGTTTCCATGTAGTACAAAATTCCATAAGCAATCTCAACATCATATCGATCAGATATGAGAAGATTGTAAAGCGCTGTTTGTGCACGGTTGGCAACACTGGGATTCTTGCCGGTCTTGACCTCAAAGGGTGCAGTGAGAGTTCTTTGCCCTTTTTCGTCTCTCATTGTGATTTGTACCGTCGCATCAATGTTACCTTTCAGACCATACATTGGAGACCAAACGTGTTCCTCAACATCGAGAAGATTACTGACACACATGGCCACAGTATCACCATTTCCAGCTTTTACTAGAGCTCCAGGCTGATAAAGCAGGTTAGTATTCAGAGTGGAAAGTGGATTGGTTCACATACCTTTGGTTGGGACGACACAAACAATTCTGCCCATGCTTGTAATTCTCCCATTTTACTATGTAGATATTCTACAGCTTGAGGTATCTCGACTTTAATAACATACAAGTCTTCAAGATGTCTTTGAGCAAGCTTATCAATAAGCTCGCCAAGAAACATCCTGTCCCAGCGATTGACAAGCATTGCAGCTTGAAATATCTCATGAAGAATCGTTCCATAAAGCATAGCTGGGGATGCTTCACCAGTGGCTTTGACCCTATCTTGAAGAACAGCACGACGAGTACACCCAAAAGAATCCGCTACTACAAGCGCAGATATAAGATGGTCCGGATGAAGAATGATCAAGCCAGAGTTATCATCTATGACACAGATTCCCTGTGCATCAAACTTACCAATGATATGAACAAAAGCCTTGGTGGTCACTGGAGTATCAATCCAAGTGCCTCTGAGATATACCATTCTTTTGATTTTTGAGCGCTCAGGTTGAAGATACAGTGTCTCGTGGGTGGTTAGCTAAATCATGGCAAAAGTTCATGAGAGTTTACCTTTTCTGGTTGCATTCTACCATTAACACCTTCATACTGATTATCATCTATCATAGTGACAAGATATCTTTGAATTGCGCGAGCTTTTTCCATAGACTAGACATTTCTTAGCATTGAATTAATAATATATTGCTATGGATTTCTCGGACGTACAGGCATTAAGCTATTTGTTGATTGTTTTAGTGACTGCGTTGCTGCTATCTCTGCAGCCGCAAAATCTGAATCGTCTATATCGTCGCCATATTCATCATCAGACTCTTCCTTCTTAGCTGTTGCACCTCTCGGCCTTGACGGCGGAAGCTCCACATCATCTACCGGAGCTGATCCTGCAAATGCGGCATCGAAATCATCATCGTCCAAACCTTCACCAAATTCGTCGCTACTATCGTCCTCCAATGCTTTCGAAGGGTCAGGACTTTTGGATACAATCTGGGATTTATATGTAGAGCTAGCCCTAGGCTTAATTGGCGATTCATATGTTCTCGGTGGTAGTGGTCGCAATATTGAAGCTGCAGGAACTTGCGATTGTGATTCGATAGCCGAAAGTATCATTCCACCAATTTCATCTAGACCATCATCGGAACCATAATTTGACTCGGCAGTGGCAGGTCTTTTTGGACTCGGTAAAGCAACATTAGATTCGACATTCATACTTGGTGAAGAGGGCGGCTCGAGTCTCCTTTTCAAGGGCGATGTCCTCTTCTCAGTTCCTTTTCCGCCCAATGGAGAACTTGGTCCTTCAAATTGAAAATGACCTTTATCAGGAAGAGGTGATGAGCTGGAAGGACCACTAGAAATCTCCTTGGGCTTGTAATCTTCCTGCAATCTCCTCATCAAACCCGGCGTATCGATATTCCTACTATTTCCTATCCTGCTTGGTTGGTGTCTCTTGGGTTTCAATGGATTGCCAAGACTTCTTGATCTGGTCAATCCTCTAGGCGTGTTTCCTTCCCTCGATGATTGCGGAGATGCGTTTTCCATAATTCGCGAGAGCTTAATGTCCTTAGTCTGACCCAATTTCATCCATACCTCGACTTCTGGCCCCGGCCTAGGAAATGAATCTGCTTGCGAAGATTGACCTAGTATAGGTGAAGAGCTCTGTGCTCTGCCAATATCATCATCGTCCCTCTTCCTTTTTCCCAGTTTGCCGCTCTCAGGTTCTGGTAATTGTTGACTATCCTTATTTGTATCCCAGATTATCCGATCGTCAGGTGATACCGCTTTAAATGGTCGTCTGAAATCGGCATTCTGCGTGGGATCGAACCCCATTGACGGCGTTGAAGGTACATCTGCTGAAGTAGAGTCGTCAAGAAAGACATCTTCTTCTACAGAACTCTTCTCATCTCTCGATGAGCCTTGCCGCCGACTCTTCGAAGGCGTGGCAATTCTACTATCAGTCTCCGATGATACTAAATTTATAACCTCTTTCGAATCATCTCCTTTCCCAGGTTGTTCTCGATATTGAAAGTTGCTAAGTATATTCTTCGTGGTTGTAGAAATAGGTACCGGCGGTTTCTCTGCTAAAGGTTTTGCGGGAACTTTAGGCTTTTGTTGTTGGTTCTGATAACTTTTATTCCTCTGCCACGGCTGTCGGGACTGTAACTCAATTAGCTTCCAGTTTCGTTCATATGATGATCATTTGTTGAAAGTGTTATTCCACAGTTAGTAGAACGCATACATACGTGGTTCTCTTTTCCTGAATGATTAGTCTCAGAGAAGGATTTTTGAAGAGGCATTATATCTTCACAAAATATGACTTGGTAAAGTACATGAAAGATAATGTTATGTTATGGAAATTGAGTAATATCAAAAGTAATCTGAATCATAAGCAATAAGCAATATGTAAAGTGTTAAATGTAGCTGGGATGTATATTGATTGATAGTTCTTGCACTTTGTGGAGTAGAATACGCGACTTCGCGACTTGGAGACGCGCTTTCCATTTTTATGCGTATATCACTAGTTTTAGCGCGTGTTTTGAACTGTTTATTCATTCTACCCCTGTCTTCACACCATTCGGTGATTTTATCTCTGACCCTCCGACTATCGGCTAAAGGTGGAGAAGCAGCGGAAGAGCTTAGAACCCTGGGATTGATAAGATTGTCATCGCACAGATCACACGAGATCAAAATAATTTCTCGACAGCGACAGCTCAGCTCAGACAATAGGTAATTAGATTAAGGTATGTTGTACTAATAACTCATCAAATTCGATACAACTCTCTTCAAAGGGCATTATACTCATTTCTAACCATTTTATAGCACCAATCGCAACCATGTCGACCGAAAAGCCTCTTCCCTTCGTTTATCAGTTCGCTGCTGGTATGTTTTACCCCTCACCCCATATCATGAAATTGAGACTTACAAAGACAATATAGGTGCGATCGCCGGTGTATCTGAAGTAAGTTCTCTCTGCTGCATAGCATACGAAACTTACAGAACCATGGAACTAAATTATGTGCCATTGCGATAGATTCTTATTATGTAAGTGCCCCTCAACAGGAGACAAGCATTTGCTACTGCATCATACTGACTCATGCAGGTACCCGTTAGATGTCGTAAAGACTAGAGTGTAAGTTTTGAGTCTCTCTGCACCAGTACATTGAGCAGATGTCAGACAGAACGTTAACGGAAGGATAGACAATTGCAGACCAGCTCCGCGGGGCCGGATGGCTACAATGGCATGGTGGATTGCTTTAGAAAGATCATTAAGAATGAAGGGTATAGATTCCCCAATAATACTACCCCGTCAATCTCAAGATGGGCGCTGACGTCTTATTCAAAGTGTCTCACGACTATACCGCGGAATCGAAGCCCCAATTCTAATGGAAGCTCCTAAACGTGCCACTAAATTTGCAGCCAACGAATCCTGGGGAAAGTTCTACCGTGATATATTCGGTGTCGCCAAGATGAACCAATCCCTCTCCATTCTCACCGGAGCTACTGCCGGAGCTACTGAATCCTTCGTAGTCGTCCCCTTCGAGCTCGTTAAGATCCGTCTGCAAGATCGCGCCTCTGCCGGAAAATATAGTGGAATGGTTGATTGTGTTACTAAGATTGTAAAGGCCGAGGGTCCATTGGCTCTTTACAACGGATTGGAAAGTACAATGTGGAGACATATCTTATGGAACGCGGGATACTTTGGATGTATCTTCCAAGTCAAGGCATTGATGCCCAAGCCCGACAATAAGAAGCAGGAAATGATGGTCAACATGGTTTCCGGAGCAATCGGTGGTACCACCGGTACAATCCTCAATACACCAATGGATGTCGTCAAATCACGTATTCAAAATAGTCCCAAGGTTGCCGGATTAGCACCAAAATACAACTGGGCATGGCCAGCTCTCGGTACGGTGATGAAGGAGGAAGGTTTCGCAGCATTATACAAGGGATTCTTACCTAAGGTTCTCAGATTGGGACCTGGTGGAGGTATTTTACTCGTTGTGTTCACCGGAGTAACAGATTTCTTCAGAAAGATGCGCGCAGAGAAGGGTCTATAGATCCGTTCGCCCGGTTGTGAAGGTGGGATGGATAATGAAAAAAATGAGTGGGCCATTTTATCCTTGTATAGGTTTCTATATCATCTGAATAGAAGCATACGAAAGACCTAAAGGGCATTACAAACAATTTAAGATACAAGAGATATCATTCAATGTAAACGAAATACTTATCACGAAAATTCACATTACTCAAAAGAATGAGATATATGACTATAACTGGCCAAAACAACTTCATGCTCGCTCGATGTCTATCCATTTTCCTGCCCACTAGGTATATATTTACTATTACATTCATAACATAACTCCACCAGCACCCAATTGTCAGGCGCTTCCAAGCTTCCCATCAACCGTTTTCATGCAAGCCATCCATTTCCGCTTCGCATCCTGTGCCCGATGTATAGCTTCAGATTGCAGATCCCTGTTTGATCTCATGCCTCCATAATTTCACTTCTCACCCCATGTACGATATGAAGTTGCACCACCTCACAACAAACTCTCATATGCATCCAAGCCGCTCTTCTTCTGTGGCTGCTGCTGCTGCACGACGGGTCTTTGCTGCCCCATTCCCATTCCCATTCCCATTCCGCCACTTCCCAGCCCACTTCCTAGCCCACTTCCACTGGTACTCCCAAACGCACTGTAGTTCGCTGGACCCCCAGTCCCTGCACCGGGTGGTGGAGGCAATGAAAAGCTTGAGAACGCACTCGAGGCGCTTTGCGAACTATTCAAGGCAGGTCTAACTTGATTCATTTGATTCATGGAAAGTGAAGACATTGAGTTGTTCGTTGAAGAGAAGGAGGAATTCAAAGGAGGGGGTGAGATGGGTGATAAAGTCGAGGTTGTAGGTGTAGAGGCCCATGGGTTGGGAGTCGAGGATGCAGCTGCACTATTCCAGTTCAAAGTTGAGTTTGCAGGTTTGGGCGGAGGAAACGCGGATTGAGGTTGTGAGAAGGAGGGTTGGGGTTGAGAGAATGAAGATTGTGGTTGTATGGGATTTGAGTAATTAAATTGCGGTTGAAGCGGTTGTGAGAATTGAGTAGCTGATGGTGTCAAAGCACCAAAGCTTGAGAGGTCTGGAGTGACCGTTCGTGATGTTGCTTGTTGTGGTCGAAGGACATTACTAATCGAGTTAGAAGGGTATGTAGGCGCTGTGGGCGATGGGGTAGACCAAGCAAAAGATGGTTTTGGTTGCGCCGACTGTGCTTGTTGAGCGTGGGGGCTTGTAGAATTAGAATTCCAACTGGAGTCTAAGGCATTGTTTGATGAAGGTGCACCAGTTCCGCCTTTAACAAGTCGTTCGAAATCCATTTCGGGATCATCCGATCCCACGGCAGGCGGGAAAGCCGAAGCGGCGCCAAACGACATGAAATCATCGGTACCATTTGCCCTTACACCTGCACCGTTACTACCGGAAAGCTCTTGTAACTTCTTTGTTTGCTCAGACTCGACTCGAACAGATAGGCTCTTAATGAGTTCCATGAAAGATTGGAATTGCTGCAAATTCAGGAGTGGCCCCAAACTCATATTCCATAATATCGGAAGAATATCCATGGCAACAAATTCTGCGTCGGCTATAGTACCTATCTGTCTAAGAACGTTTAGGGCCGCGACTGCAACAGCAGGTTCTTTCGTCCTAATTGCCCTAATCAAAGGTACTATCTTCTCCTGCATGGTATATTTGTCGAGGGGGGTAGATGTATTTTTCTTGGCACCCCCAATGCCATCGAGACCATCATTGCTAGAAGTCGGATCATTTGAGCCACCGCAAAGAACCACAAAAGCCTCTAGCCCTCGGACTTTTATTCCTAGACTGCTGGTCTTTGTGAACACCGAAGAGATGACTGGGAAAAGCTCATTCTTGATAGTAGAAAAATCAAGGATAGGAAGAACTACATTCAAGCTTCGCAAAGCAGCGTCTACAAGTGCATGCGTTGGCGAATCTATCGATATTGCTACAATGGGCAGGATATCTAAGGCAATTAGCACAATGCATCTAATCTTTTGGCGAATATCTTACCATCTTTGAACTCTTTACCCGAACAATTGACTGATATTACTTGAATGTGCTCCAACAATACCATCAATCCAGCTTCTTTTGCAGCGTCACGCTCGGTAGGAGGTTTGGGGTTATTCAGAAATATCTCCTTAAGCCTAGGCATGATCTTTTCGGTAAAAGGCCTTCTTCCGGAGGGTAACAATTCGATTATTTTGAAGATATTTTGTAAAATTAATGATATCAATTCTCGGTCTTTCATTTCTTCTAACAAGGCCGGCAAAACCTTTTTTTCCATGACACTCTTTGGGAATGATGGTAACACCCTGGACAAACCACGCATAAATTGGGCCTTCTCATTGGGAGTTTTGGCTGGTAGAGAGTCCAAGAATCGAATTGTAGATATCAAAATATTATTAAAATAAGCGCTGTCTTGAAACTCTTTCGCGGTCATACGTTGTGCTGGACGTCTAGTAATCAATCGCGGTAGTACCTCTCCAGTCATATCTCTCGGCAATGGCTTTTTACATAAGAAGGTATTGCTAGATGAAGGGATGGTGGAAGACGAGGTAAATAGTCTTTTGTAACCAGATACGCTATTGTTGGACTCCAGTGGTGATGTATGAGGCGAATTATAGAGAGCGACGATGAGAAGACCCAGTGAGAACATGTCTGCTGAAACATTTAAATTCGAGTCTAGGACAAAATCTGGGGAACAGTAGTCGAGGTTGATCTGGACAGAACGAGGTAGTCGAGGATCGATATTCAGAACCTCAGAGAGATTAATTGGTTGCACTGAAGATGCTTTAGTCGAATTGTCTGGCGGACTGCAAAAGCTAAGTCCACTAAGTTTCCAATCAGACTACGATAATTAGTCGCAGCATATGTAAATATGGTTAAGAAACTCACCTTAGCATTCACAAACACTGCATCAGGAGTCAGGTTTCCATGTACAAGGCTAGCATTATCGTGTAAAAACTCCAATGCCTTGCTGATCTGCAGGAGACCCTTTTGTATTTCCAGTTCGTCTATCTCAACCTCTTTCCTCCTTCTGCCACCTTCCGAATCCTCTGTGACATATCGACTTGAGCGTCCGCCAATCCCACCAGCTCTTTCTTGTTCATCTTTTTCCTGTAGTAGGCCAGATAACGAAGCTGTTACGGTTTCGGTCGCAAATTGTAATCCTCCACCCCTCAATTCTTCCACCGGTTCTACCAGTTCCAGAATACTAGGATGCCGCAGCCTTGCCAAAGACGATGCTTCTTTCTTCAATCTTTCAATCACCTCCTCAGTCGCACGCTTCATCGAGGTAGCACTCGATCGCCCCAAGGATCCTGCATGTGCATCTAAGGCTTTGCGGTCGAGGACAAAGACTGAAGCAGTCTTTCCTGTCGATTTCTTCTTCGCATCGTATATTTTCCATGGTCCTGAGTATGAACTGGGTGTGGACGAGACTGAATAATTCGAGTTAATATTCGAGGTGAAGGACTTCAACGCGGAACTGAACATCTTCGCAGCTCTCCTCCCACCAACACTGGAGTATCAAAGGATTGTCCGAACTTCTGGCGCATAAACCTTAAACCCTTGATAATTATATTGTGAGGAAGCTTATCTTGACTGATGTGATCTCGTTAAGTGACTGTTGTTGATTTTCCTTCGGACTTTTCATACAGTGTGGAATGATTTTGTTGTAGTATCGCAAATGTCCTCTCCCTCTGGATGTACAAAAATCGTAAGCCTTGTCCTAATAATAAAGGGACATCTACTCTGGAATTCGACCTCTCACAACGAGTGTTAATTATAAGCTTGTGATTTCAGGGACATGTTGCTTACATAAGTCTGCATAAGATTTGAATGTTATCTTTTTAATCCTTGCAATATGATGGGACAAGATTATGCTGACACTCCGCAACTCGGAGCCGGGAAGTGGTCACAGCATCTAAATTTATTTTGGGCATTGAGAGTTGAATGACTGACTCCGAGTACCATTTCAAAGCATAGGTGGGACTTTACACATTTAAGAAGCTCAAGTTCCCCAATTCACATTTTGAAGTTCATCCAAACTTTTTATTCTTTGAAATTGAACAAAATGCTTCGTCAATTGTTCCCAAGAGGGGCAGCTTTCGCAAAGCCAAGCTCCAGAGTGTCGAGGCGATGGGAGGCTTCTTCGAGATTATACAGCATACAAGCAGAAGCTGCTTCTACGACAAAGCTACAAGATATCGACCCTACCAAGTTGACTATAACGAAAAACACTACTCCTAATGAGCTACTCCCCCCAAATGAACTGGTCTTTGGAAGATCGTTTACAGGCAAGCTCCTCGGAGATCTCACAACATTGCCAACTGCTGACCGCCCATAGATCATATGCTTAGCATTGAATGGACAGCTTCAGATGGATGGCTACCCGCACGCATAACACCTTACCAAAACCTTTCCCTCGATCCCGCGTCCTGCGTTTTTCACTATGCGTTTGAGTGTTTTGAGGGAATGAAGGCATACAAGGATAAAAGCGGACAGGTACGGCTCTTCAGACCTACCAAGAATATGGAACGAATGAACAAATCTTCTGCACGTATTGCTCTGCCGACTTTTGATCAATCCGCTATGATCGAATTGATCTCAAAGTTCGTTGCTATGGAGAAACGATTCATTCCAGAAGAAAGAGGATATTCATTATACCTGAGACCAACTATGATTGGAACACAAAGAACACTGGGTGTTGGACCACCAGGTTCCGCATTACTTTATGTTATTGCTTCTCCAGTTGGGCCATATTACCCTACTGGATTCAAGGCTGTGTCCTTAGAAGCTACAGATTATGCCGTAAGAGCATGGCCGGGAGGAGTTGGAGACAAGAAACTAGGTGCGAACTATGCTCCATGTATCTTGCCACAATTAGAAGCTGCCAAGAGAGGGTTCCACCAAAACTTATGGTTATTCGGCGAGGAGGAGTATGTTACCGAGGTTGGAACCATGAACATGTTTGTGGCTATTAAGAACAAGGAAGGCCAAAAGGAATTGGTTACTGCTCCATTAGACGGTACAATCCTGGAAGGTGTCACGAGAGACTCTGTTCTATCTTTAGCCCGCGAGAAGCTGACTAAGGATGGATGGATCATTTCTGAACGTAAATACACTATGAGTGAGTTAGCAGATGCATCAAAAGAAGGTAGATTATTAGAGGCGTTCGGTGCAGGAACTGCAGCAGTCGTCAGTCCAGTGAGGAACATCTCATGGAAGGGCAATCTGGTTGAGTGTGGATTGAGACCAGATCAAGAAGCTGGTGAGATCGCATTGAAGATGAAGGAATGGATCGAGGCTAGACAATATGGTGATGAAGAGCATGAGTGGAGTTATGTTGTACCTAATTAAAGAGCTATAAATGTGTATGTATTCATAGAGCCAGATGAATGGAAAAGCGAAAAATGGGATATATATTATATTAGTCATACTTTGAACTTTCAAATTCGTATTGTGAAATACTATCTTGTACCGGAGTTTGAACTGATGAACGGACACATGATCGAGGTTGAAGAGTCATCAGATCCAATGATGACCAGATAGCAATACTGCCCTCAAGAGTGGTACGCGGGTCTTTCATCGAGTTCCAGAATTTCACTTTTTATTCACCACAGACCGAACGAAATTCACAGTAAGCTCATGTTGGTACCAAGTTCCTTGAGAAAGAAAAGAAAAGAAACTCAATAATATTCCTTCGCTCTATTAGCACGCATAATATTCCGTGCAACCCGTACATCTTGGAATTCTGCGCAAGATGTTCATAGCCTTCCATCATCAATCCTTCGTATGTACAACTCCCCTGCTCCATCAGTCTTCGTCCTTGAGCGTTCTGTCCAGTTCCAGATTCTCCATTGTAACTTGCTTGCCCAATAGTATAATGGTTTATGATTTGTCTTCTGGCTCCTTCAAGATCCCCTCGGCTTCTAACCTTCTGCGTGCTTCTTCTAATGCCCATGTTTGTATCCTGTGAATGAATATTAGCAGCTGTTTGTGTTTTGTGTATGATCATATATCCGTAGAAGCCCATGTTCTCAATTTCCCTTGCTCCATTCTTGCCACAACCCCTCCACCCCTCTTCTTAAATCCCTGATCTTTCAGCCCATACCAAATTTTCCCAAAACCAACCACTTCACCTTCGAACTTTCACCCGTATTAAGATGCCACAAGAAATAAAGAAATTAAAAAACCTACGAGGTATCTGGCTTAACCGCATAACCGACAATTCCAAAAGCACAAGTTCCAAAAAACCCGTACACCCATAAATTTTCCCATCCCTCTTTCTCGGCCTTCTCTCCAGGTTTCACTCCAAATAACCATCCGCTCGGTGGCTCATAGTGGTCACCATGATCTGCTGATTTTCGGGCTGCGGTAATAGACAAATTTCGTGCTTGGTTGAGAACTGCTGATTGTGTGCGGGCGATGGTGCTGGTAGCGCGTGGAATGGCGCGTGTGAAAGACATTTTCGAAAGACTCGCGATAATTGGACACACGGATTGCGATGTGACGATTTGCGAGAAAAAGAGAGAGTGCTGGTGGAGTTGTTGATGCGATGGTGGTGATGATGAGGTTGTGAGGGATGATCGGTAATACTTAGCCAAGACGCTAAATTTCCGCTCCGCCGGTTGCTAAGAGTCGCTCCCGAAATTGAGCCAGGACTTCAAAACGATCTCCACAAATTGGACAGGTTGACTTAGTAATCTGCATTCTTACATGAATGATTCTGGTAGGCTCTTGAACTTCAACCTCTTCAACAACGTCATCCTTCTTGACCTTCTTGTTGTTGACCTTCTCCAAGATCTTCTTCTTGCAGGATGCATAGGTGTCAACGATTTTGTTGTTCAATCTGAACAAAAAGAGTTTACCCAACCAAACAAGTTCATTTGGAGCACTCATGATGGTTTGTGTGTGTGATTCTTTAATGTAATGTGATGAGAGGTAATTGTAAGGACTGGCTGTGAAAAGAGTTCAATTGATTTCGTCCAAGGTTGTTAATCTGAGATTGTTTTTGGAAGAATGTTTCTGGAACTGGTTTGGAAATTTATCTGTGGGAGAAGTTCTTAGTACTTCTCGGCGGCGCCGAGACAATCACCTTCAAGACTGTGATATGGGAATGGTTCATGGGAATGGTACTCGGAGACGACTTTGCATGATCTTGATTTCAGTATTTAACCCACGCTGACCTCTCTCTTGATATGTCTTTCCTTTGAAGCCAGACACTATCTCAACGATGTTGCTTGATACAATACCGAATTTGCAGCTGCTGCATTTTGCTGGATGGATGGCATACTTCAACGCATATTCTGCTCGGTTCTCTCAATTCTCTGCGACGCAGAACTACTTCAATTTACAGGCCTCAATGTTGCTGCCACTCAGCGCACACCTGCTTCCATGTCATCTAATCTTTCTAGCTAGTAATTTTTAGGACTTTCTCGCGTCTCCCCTGGAGCTCTCTGCATCATTGCGGTTTGGTCTTGAGTTTGATCAAAAAGCCATGTAGCTCCGCAGAAGTCGCAAAACCTCTGGTTTCCACAATCAATTCTCGCGTTGCTGTCGCGTGAACATCAAGGTAGATATTGGTAAACTGCACCGCCCAATTTTCTAGCAACTCGTGGTTTCGTGTCCTCCCATGGGCAAAGAAATTGGGGTTGGACTTTCGTGCCATTGTGATTTTGAATTGTACATCAAATATTCAGCACCAACGGGTTTGTATTCATGAGAAAATCTTTTTAGGATTTGCTAGTCCAATTCAACATGACCCAGAACATCCTGCATGGAGTTTCCAATCGCTTTGCGCCATTCCTGATACTTCCACGCATCACCTCTCAAGCAAGACTTATCAACCACTGATCTATAACCCATAACAATGCTAGTAAGCATGCTGATCCCACCAAATGACATGAGCGTCTGATTGATTGGCCACTTAGATGCTACGTTCTTCGATCTCAAGCAAAGGTACCACTCCTGACCGAAGTCCCTTTTGGCGACAATAATCAGACGACACCGATCGAAGCATGGCGCGATTCACTCGCAGTTCTATTACAAGGAGCCTTAGATATCAAAATACAGTCCGAACCTATCGCCGAAGATGCGTCTGCGACCAAATGCATTCGTTCGTCTCATAATCTGCAAAGGCCGACTTCGCTAGACTTCCAACGAAGTACTACCCTTCCTGCGCGTCTCACCTTTACGAATGCTTGTTGAAACAACTTTCCTAGCAAGATCTTGACGAGACACAGCTCAAAGTTGAATATATCCAGCCCATGAACTCTAGCTTTTTGAAACAGCGCTTCTTGGATACAAGAAATTCATGCGTGCTGGACAATTTTTCTGCGGCGTGTAAGGTATACTTTGCTCCCTCGTAGGAATACGTGCCGCATCTTTGTTCTTGGGCTCCTGCGCTGGCTACTTGAAAAGTGCCTGAGTCCCACAAATCTGCCTTTTCGTCTGGGAAAGGATGACATGGTGCTCGCGGCTGAGTTTGTCTGTGGTATATTAGCTTTTGAGCTTTGGAGTTTCTTCGGAATGATATCCATGATATTTGATAAGTTGGTAAGGTTTCGATATAGTGGGTCGTGAACATCTGTGTCCGGTTGCATCAGTCGTGTTTGATCATGGGACGTAATGGATCTAGTCATGAAGATAATCGAGGTCTATACAATATTTTAAATGGAAAGAGGAAAATAACAAGTGAGGAGGTCTAAGTAAACCTCTATATGGGGACACAGAACGCGGGTGACTCAATATTGTGGTCAAGAAATTGTACTTACGGATACTACAGTACTGGTCAAGCATTCACAGTCACGTTTTAAGCCACGCTGTATACGATGAACCATCCAGCAGTAGCTGGGTATATAAAGTGGTCGTTCTATAGATATTCTCTTAAGAAATTATGAATATTCCAAGATATATGGAGGGCCAAAAATGCTTGTGAAAGACTGGTAGTCCCTGTGTCTAGCCGTGCTTTTTATTTCTATTTGACCACATTGATGTGTTGTTGAGAAAGAGGTAGAATTTCGTTCGCATCTAGTATGATTGACAATAACAAAGCTGGCAATGATAGAAGTTACAGCAGAAGCGACAATCAAATATAATCTGGTTGATATTAAGCAAGACAGTGGTAAACCAACCAAGATCAGTGTTGATAGCGAGTGTGCAATATTGTGAAGAAAGCTGGCGGTCGCCATATCTCCTGTCAGATAACGACTCAATTTGTGGCATCATCCAGTTACTTGGTATTTTGGTGACCACTTTGAAAGGTTAGGAACATCTTATAAGTCTCGCATTCGCTGTCGTGGGTTTTTGCGAGGGAAAAGTGGTTAGGGATGAAAGGAAGGCATGTTTATAGGTAGAACAACGGTCTCTTGAGAGGGTCGGATTGGCTTGTGGACCGAGAAGAGTCAGTTGAGGAGATGAATTCAGTGGAGGATTCAGCGCCATAGCGTAGTGCGTGAGTTTAAAAGGAAGTGAATAACACCTTGCATGAAGTAGGTTATCTAGATCTTGGTGGCTGGGTCTATAAAAATAGACTCCTGGTATTCTTGTTCGGCATCATGAACACAGATTGAACCGTCTCAAAGTCCTTTGAGGATATGGTCAAAGAAGTGCTGCTAACGAAAGCCTTCTACGTTATTTGTGGGAAGTTTTGTGAGGCATTATCTTTCCTGGCGCGGTATGACATACGAAGTGGGATGTTGGTGGTTGACGGCCGCGTTTGAGAAAGTAATGGCAGCGAAAAGTTTTGTTGCCCATGCAAGTTTTTGCCATAAATGACAACAAAAAATTCCAAGCGACGAGAGGACCTCTTGACTATACATAGCTCTTGGCTCTCAGAACAACAAGGGGTAAAGAGAAATCGATTAACACTTGCTATCTAAAAAGCCAGGCGGACCTGATTCCCGGTCTTAATATTTAATTGCTTTCGAGTTTGAGCTGATGATTAGAAGACGGATAGCTTTGACACTGCTATCTATGCAATATTATTCAGTAAATCGCAGGATCTCGTTGGGAATTTTAAATAGCTTTCTTCCAGGACTCTCTACATAAGGAGCTTGCGGACCTTCAAATTAAGGATAATAGATATGTGTAAGAGCCATCAACCGTGACGTCGAGGGGGAGGAGCAACCATTCATCATTTGATCAATTTTCAGAATTTGACATGTGTGTGCCCAGGTTTATCTTGGAGATATCATTCATACTGTGTGATTTATCCTAAAATTCGAATATGACTGCTGACGATCTACGTTAACGTGGCTGTAATATATTAACAGCAATTATGCATTTTCCGTTTCATGACAGCGCCAATATACTTTCACACAATGACAAAAATCCAGAAGAGTACGTCTGATAAATTGATTTAGATCTACATGACAAGAGATAAAAAATTACTGACGAGACACAAATGAATATAAATCCATGTTACGCTCAATGATAGGTGGAAAGTTGACCAACTACCTCGTGAAGCAGTGGCGGCCGTCCATCGTCCTTTGCTTGAAAAGTGATTGAGTTGGACAACTACACGAGGCTTTTATAGTATCTTTGTGAGATATTTCTTAGGAATAGTTGGAATGAAAGGAGTGGGAACCACACTTACTAAGGCGAAGAATTCAATACTTAGATAAATGGACAATGGGCTACCGAATTATGGGTTCCTTATGAGAGGTTCTCTCCCACTGTATAAAAAGTCAAACTCAAAGCGTCGAACTCAGAGCGTCAGCCAGACTCGGTCAAACCTACAAGGAAGCTTAGTATGATGGATTCCAAGTCGATCTGGAAGTTTTTACATAGATGTAGTTTGGCTCCGGTGCTCAACACTGCTATTGAGGAAGAACATAGCTTGAGAAATTGAGTTCTATAACAGTGATGATAATAACCAACAATAGGATCAGTGGCTGACGATATTTACCGGTCAGGAATGAATATATCATGCGCCTTTGATATGAAGCCGCCAAGTATAAGCTGCGAGTATTGGTTATCAGTAGGATAATCCCTTGGACATTATCCGGCGGTATCCTAAAGCACCCTCTTTGATCTCGTTGAAAGCTTAGCCATTGGTTTATTTTGTTGCAGGGAGCCTTGGAGATTCTCTGCTAAGACTCAAGATCCTGTCAATATGTATGAAGCAACAGTGAGTACATACATGCAGGTTTGACCAATCAACGGAGAAGACAGCTTTCCATGAATATACGAGGCTTCTAGATCAACTTCAAACGTCGCAATGTTATGGAGCTTTCCTTTTCCGGTATTTATATCATCGTTGCTTCTCCATTTACAGGCCAGAGTTTACTATACCACAAGAGACAAAACCCGGCATGCTTCTCGTGCATCCTTCAATTTGACTCGGATAATATTGGTCTGAACTTTCGATGCAGTTATCGTGTAACCATCTCTAAAAGAGAGGTCTTGCCCAATGATAATAACAGAAGCTATTTCCCGGAAAATTGACTGTCAAAATTGTGATCACTGTCATCGGTCCCCTGTTTTGAAGCCATTATCAGGGGGAAGGAAGTCCGCAACAACTTCGTTTTTAGAGGATAATTTCTCCATAATTGACAGATAATGCAAACAGTTATGGACTCATCTAATTTTTGGGTTCCTTGAAATTTGGTACTTAAGAAATTCCGTCGTTGAAGAACAAACCATGGAGAGCCTTTTACAGAAAGCCGAAGACCAAACTAAAGTCATAAGATTGACAAATTCTACTGGCTGGAAGTGAATACTACCTGCGCATAATCCAAAACTCGAAAGAGGGGGCAATGATTAGAGCTGATGATCGAATCTTCTTCAATGAAGTGAATATCATCAAGATTTTTGATCTTCTTTAGCTTAAATATGCGAGACTCCATGAACTGGGGTACACAAGTTTAGAAATCATCAGCAGAATCAGGATGATTTGCTTTGCTTGGAGGGAGGAACATCACCTTTATGGGACCACCAGTCTATAATTTGACAGTTCTCGTTCATCAGGAATTCTAAGCAATGTTGGAAGAGTGGAGCGAACTTCTATGGGATAAGTGGATTTCGAATGATAGGAATTGGTTTCTAGTGATAGCGACAGCGACAACTCGGTCAAACGTCTGATGACAATAATGCCTGTTGACAGTGTGATATGTTCGACGCCTATGGCAATGACTTGCTTCCGAAATATTTCCCCAAGTATCTCACGCCTGATGCACGTTACTCTTCAAGAACATATGAAGCATATTGCCAATAGCTTCCTGGATAGCTTTTGTCTTGAAAGCCCATTTAGATGATGAATGCCATCATGGATTCTTGCCAGTCGATATTTGAGGACATAAAAAGATTTATATAACACAAGCTTTGAATCAAACTAGTGAGTGCATATCACAGTCTGAACAAGAGGCTAGATGCAAGCATGGAGTGGACCAGAAGGACATGATGACGTGCTGGTGCAGAAGCTCGAGTTCAGGGGCTGAGAATGATCTTCCTAAAAACTATTTAAAAATAGTAGAGCTCTATGTTTCTTATAAGTAAAGAGATTCGACAGTATCTACAGAATTAAGATAGTGCTGGAGAGGGGCTACTTACAATCTAGTTCTAATTGTATTGAGTATTTGCATTTGACTATTTATATAACGTAGTTTAACACTAAGTGGCTCATATTACCGAGTTGGTTATTATTTTTATATACAAAATTCGTCTATGTGTAACTATGTACTTTCTTTATTTATAAATAGAATTTTCTAAAAATTGAAATTACAAAATCTAATTATATAAATAATATAAAAATCTAATTATTTATTGAAGATTTAAATTATTATAATAGTTATTATAGAAATATTTCTTTTGTAACAAAAATCATAACAATTTCCATTTTTTTTTAAAAATATAAAAGAAATTTTTATATCAAAACTAGATTTATAAAACACTAAATTTTTATTATTATTTTATATTAATTTTCTTTCAAAAAATAATAATTGATTATTAAAATATAAATATTAAAAAAACATTAATTTTGATATAATTTGAAGTGGGCCACTCGGTGATATAGGCTACTCGGTGTTAAACTATATGTTATGCGATCTATGCGGCAATTTTTCGAAATTTTTCGACATCCGATATCACATTTTAAAGTCACAAGAATAAATATAGCGACAGCAGAGTTGATTTGAACGACAATAAAAACATACGAAGAGGAAGGACAAATTCCATACCCCAACTACAATTACCCAACTCTGACTCCATAACACGCAGATTACTCATAGCTGGAAAATTACCGTATTTCCACTCCACCACCACACTCTCCATGTGACCGTTTTTCTGAGAATCTTCACCATTCAGTTGAAAAGGTCACAATCAGCAGAGATAGTAGTTTATGTAGGGATAGAAGGGAAGTATCTAGAAATCTAAAGTCACTTAGAAATTCATTGTGGAAATTACCAATTCCTCTTAGAGCTCTGATGAAAGACAAGAGGTCATTTACGGAATTGTACCATTAATGACGAGTATTTAAACCCCCTGGTGATTGCCCAGGAATAAATTCAACAGGTTGTTCTAATCAGCACGAGAATAGAGGCTAGATTTGCTGTCGAGAACAGCTTATCCTGTTGGATTTACCTGCTGGGCATGGCCCTTCGTCATATGCGTCGTTGGCTATCATTCCAGGTGTCGTGGAAGAAATTGAAGATTGCCATAGTGATATATCTATCTGGCGGTGAGTATGCTAACATAAACCAACGACAATGAATAGAAAATTTCTACAATATCTGCCAATTTCTTGCAACTCGCCGGATTGGGAGCGATATGTGCCGGTGAAAATGTAGAGAGAAGACTTATCTAACCATCCACATTCAATCTCTGCCAAGCGCAACGTGTAGAAAGTTTGGGTGTGTTGGTTGCATGAAGGAATCATTTTATACTCTCCGGTGGATGTGGGTTGCGGCTCATAACAATTTTTATGGGGGATGAGTGATTGGCTTTCATCATGGCGATACATCATGATACTGACTCAGCATTACGTAGTAATTAGGAAATATGAAGTAAAGCACGAGAGTACTTCCTATTTAAGAAAGACGACTAAAACAGAACTATAGGAAGTAGTGTAACTTTTGCTAGTATCAAGTATTGGACGTTTTAAGCTCAGGTTGAAACTCCACTTGGACATACCACATGTTTTCATTCAACAAACAGAACGCATTTTAATTATGATGGTTTTTCATTCAGTCTAGACTCTATAGCTCGGAACTCCATATCATCCAAAGTATAGCATGTGGACATCAATCCAGTTGACTGGTATCAAACCGCCTGGTCCAATTATCTATTTCCAAACCGAACCCTCCCAAATCCATTTCAAACACCCCCCATGAAAGAAAGAAAAATCAAAGGCACGCTAGTTGGTCGCAGAAGCAGCAGCACTGGAAGCTACACTAGCGCCTGTAGGCTTAGCAGCCCCCTTGGCCCCTTTACCCTTCTTTCCTCCGGTACCGGTCGAAGCAGCTGTGTTGCCACCAGTAGTACCAGTGGCATCAGCGGTACCGTTCTTATTCTTTTTTCTTGATTCGATGATAGGAAGACGACGGAGACCTAGTGAGCTGAGCTCGCTCTGGATCTCACCGGTGAGAGATTGGTCGCCTGTGGTAGCTCCGGCTGTAGCGGGATCTGCCTCGCCTTTGCCTGCCTCGCCTTTGCCTGCCTCGCCTTTGCCTGCCTCGCCTTTGCCTGCCTCGCCTTTGCCTGCCTCGCCTTTGCCTGCCTCGCCTTTGCCTGCCTTGGCTGTTGACGCAGCTGCCGCTGCTTCTGCGCTGGTTGCTTTTGCTGCACCATTTCCTTTTGCTGCACCATTTCCTTTTGCTGCACCACTTGCTTGTGCTACGCCACCAGTTCCTTTTGCGCTTCCCTGTGATAAGTTAGTATCATGATACAGAGGGTTAAGTATATGGTAGGACAAACCTTGTTTCCCTTGCCTTTGTCTCCAGTTCCAGTTGAAGCTGCGGCGTTCACATTGAGACTGGCAGTTCCCTTTGCCTTTGGATCCTCTGCGGCAGCATTGGTTGTTGCATTAGCTAGAAGTGGTAGTCAGTATAAACAAAAGATATAAGATGAAACCAAAGGACTAACCAGCACTGTCGCTCTCATCGGTATCATTGTCGTCATTGTCGTCTTCGTCATCGTCGCCGTTATTTTGCTTATTTTTTGGTGATCGAGCATAGAACTCAAAGACTGATCTTGTTAGCTATGTTTATTTCCCGTGAGATGCTTTTGGCTAACCATTTGGAACTGGTGCTCTAGCAATGAGATCAGACTCGCTCTCTGGCAAGGCTCGAGAAGAAACGAGTGTGGCAGAAATAGCAATAAATGCTAAGATGGATCCGAAGCTCTTCATGGTGAGAGAGGTATGATAATAAGCGTCAAGCTGTTAGGTCTTTAGAAAAAAGTAATGAAGTAAAAAAGCACAGCTATGAATTGTTATTATTGTCCAATATTTTATCAAAATAGAAAGACCTACCTCTTAAAAGAATGTAAATTTAAAGGGAAACGAAATAGACACACAAAGAGATGAAGAGTTGAAGAGTTGATGTAGAATGAAGATAATAAATCATGAGGCTTTCGAGGCTTTTATCTTCAAGGTAGACAACAATGGTTGATCTGGACCCCATGAAATCTCAAGCTTCATGAAACCACAAGACGCCATAGAAAGCGAAGATAATCAGCTCATGCTTAGCCCGTCTGATCTTCACTTTATTTGAAAGTTTATTTCGTTGACCGTATACTCAAACACCCCATCACACCCCATAAGGCATCGATTCTCACGCAAGAACCATGACAAACACCATAATTAGAATACGAGAATTAGTAGATGTTATGTGATATAAAGTTTATTCTAGTAAAACCAGATTCTCTGGTACCTACGCCCACGTCCATGGAGAATGAACTACAAGAGCATCCAGGTTAGCTTCGTCGGGAATATAGTTCCAGACGAAAAACAAGCTTTATAAGCTCCAATCCTCTCAAGTGGGGTGTATCTTTGCAACCAAGCTACAGATCTTTCGTAAAAATGAAATAAAAATCGGGGTGGACAGTTGAACCGAATTGAGATCGTTTTGAATTCAGTAGTGTAGAAACCGGGGTTTCAAACTGTCGATTAAACCATTTCGGCTACAGCGTCAAACGATAAGGAGGTGTCAAATACTTCCGAGACGGATGGGCCCCAGCGAAGATCATCGGATATGTAAAATACCGCGCCCAAAAATGAAAATGCAACGGTAGCACAGTATCAAATGTCCTATTTTAAGAAGTGTAAACTGTAGTCTGTATCATCTTCAATTGCTTGGTATCATCTGAATAATGAAACAGCTCTCATCCCAAGTCCTGCATATGAGAAACATACCTTGGCATGTATATTCTGCCAAGTTTTCAGGTTAATGGAAGTCTTGATGGAAGGCATGATATGTTCAATTCGAAAAAGAGCATGGAAGTGCACTGGAGTTGTTGAAGGGATGGTGAATTGAGCGAATTTACCAGATGCATTCTTTGAACCGGTCTCTTTGTGACTTCGTGCCCATGGAGCGTTTGACCACGCATCGCAAGTCCTCCCAGAAGATTGATATTGTGGTTGAGTGAAGTAATTGAAAAATACCCAGTTGACTTAGAGATTCAGTCTAGAGAGATGACATCTTTGCTTGGACTCTGTTTATCACGATCTTCTCCACGACATGCATCAGTACCGTAGGGCAAACAAGACAACGTTCATGAGTTGCACCCACAGTTCTGTAGTCTTGGCATAAGTCCGATGTATGATGGATGAAGCGGCATTCTTCAGACAGATTCAACCAGTGGTAAACAATGCTGACATTGGAGATGATACTATTCGTGAAAAGCTAGCTATAGCAGATATCTGTAAGGGGATTTCGTTCCGTTCCGATTGCGACCCCGCTGAACCGCTTCCGAGGATATAGCAAAGAGTAGATACAGTACAATACCGAGAATGCCTAGGTATCTTCGTTCGTTACCAAAAATAACACTTCAATCTTTCCGCATCCACCAGATTATCAAATCCCCAATCTCCGAATAGTAGTGATAGAAATTTCCCTGACTCTCGCAACGATAATAATGTTGTCGCTTTCGTGATGATTTTGATGTTATTCCATCAATTTACTGTTTTCAATTGGCTGCTTACAGCTAAAAATGGCTTTCAATCGGGTGACACATGATTGGTCCGAGGTTCTAGCTTTACAGTATTGCCGAGACGAGAAGCTTTGAAGAATTTCGCCTGAACCCGAACTCGAACTCTGAGCGCATTCGTGAGTCAAGAGGCAAATGGATTGTACTTTAAATTAAGAAAGAACAATTGATATGAGGTGACAATAATCATGTCTTCTTCAAGGGCTGTCACGGCATGTCTGCAGCGTAACGTCGCGCGACAAAATGCTTCCAGGATTGCGACTCAATGTCCGCGAATTCTTCAACAATCTTTCATACATCCCACATCGCGACCCCGCATTGCCTCATCATTAATTGCTGGTCAACGACGCGCTTTCTCTCTTACAGTTCCTCGACGACTGGCAGATGTGGAAGATGATTTTGATCCAAAATCGGTGGAGAGAGAGTCGGATGAGGTTGATGTATGTATTGTTGGAGGAGGTAAGAATATTATCACATGCCAAGGGATTTTATTAACATTCACAGGTCCTTCTGGTTTAAGTGCTGCGATTCGATTAAAGCAACTCGCAAACGAAGCAGGGAATGAAGATTTCAGGGTGATACTCTTAGAAAAGGCGGGTGAAATTGGGGCACATATTCTTTCTGGCGCGGTCATTGAACCTACGGCTATCAACGAATTATTCCCAGATTGGCTCGCGGAGGATAATGAGAATAGATTCGAAAACGTTACCCCCGTCTCGGGTGACAAGATGCGTTTCCTGACCAAAGGTAGCGCGATTCCTATACCTGCCCCGCCCCAGATGAACAACCACGGCAATTACATCGTCAGTCTAAATCAATTCACAAAATGGCTTGGAGATCGAGCTGAAGAGGTTGGAGTTGAAGTTTATCCAGGGTTTGCAGGAGCAGAAGTCCTATACAAGCCGGATGGATCTGTCAAAGGTGTCGCTACCAATGATCTAGGTATTTCGAGAAGTGGCAAACCCAAAGATAGTTTCGAGAGAGGAATGGAATTTCACGCAAGGATAACCCTGTTCGCAGAAGGTTGCCATGGAAGTCTCACAAAGCAAGTCATCAAGAAATTCGACCTCCGTAGAGATAGTCAACCACAAACTTATGGCCTCGGCATAAAGGAGGTCTGGGAAATCCAACCTGAAAAGTTCAAGAAGGGCCAAGTTGTTCACTCCCTGGGCTATCCTCTTCCAGCAGACACATATGGTGGTGGCTGGATGTATCACTTTGGTGACAATATGGTGAGTATTGGTCTTGTGGTAGGACTCGATTATCCAAATCCCTGGATGTCACCATATCAAGAGTTTCAAAAGATGAAGCATCATCCACTTTATAAAGATGTTTTAGAAGGCGGCAAATGCATATCATACGGAGCTCGTGCTCTTAATGAAGGAGGTTTCCAATCGATACCGAAATGTGCCTTTCCTGGTGGCGCCTTGATTGGTGACACTGCAGGCTTCCTCAACGTTCCAAAAATCAAGGGTACCCACACCGCTATGAAATCTGGAATGCTTGCTGCAGAGGCAACATGGACTGCATTGGAGAAGAACGACGACGCCTCCGTTTTCTTGTATGATTATGAAGATTCATTGCGCAAATCCTATATCTGGAAAGAATTGAAGGAGGTGCGAAATATGCGGCCTTCATTCCATTCACCACTAAAGCTATATGGTGGTATTATGTACTCCGGACTCGAAGCATATGTTCTGAAGGGCAAAGTCCCTTGGACATTGAAGCATAAATCCACTGATGCTGCAGCTACTAAGCTTGCCGACCAATGTACAAAGATTGAATATGAGAAACCCGATGGTAAAATCTCATTTGATATCTTGACAAGTGTCAGCCGTACCGGCACAAATCACGAGGAAGACCAACCAGTTCATTTGCAGGTCAAGGATTGGGATAAACATGCGGAGATGGAATACCCAAAGTACAAGGGTATCGAAAACAGATTCTGTCCGGCTGGTGTGTACGAGTATGTTGAGGACTCAACAAAGGATATCGGGGTGAGGTTTCAAATCAATGCGCAAAAGTAAGTTTCTTATCTCAACATGTTGCCTGGATACTAATCCCTCTCAGTTGTATTCATTGTAAAACATGTGATATTAAGGTGCCGGATCAGGATATCAATTGGAGTGTCCCGGAAGGTTCAGGGGGACCAAAATATTATATGACTTAGATATCCAAGCGCATGAAAACAATATGTACACCTATCTACACTATACCCAGATGGTTTTTATGTGATGCTGACTTAGGCTGAGTGATATACCGCTTATTTACGAACGGTTAATATTGAGCTCTTGTTGTATAAATACGCCACACATTCCTTTCCAAATCCTCACGAGCTACGAACTTCAATTTCACCAAATAACAAGGGCTGGGTCTACCAGTCTAAACTTTATCTCATTTACTATTTACTCTTGCATTAATGTTTCTTATATGGACTACTCAAGGAGAATCTATCAGAGCTCCACGGTAATTCTACTCAATCGACCCCTCTTCTCGCTGTCGCTTTGCTCTCTTTTCGTCATGTCTCGATCCGGTGGGTTTCTTATTATCACTTCAGCACATTTCTCACCGTCATATCGATTTCTTGTCTCGGCTTAAGATTACTAGATTTGATTATGTCTCGACTCTTGAGAAAGATATCGAACTATATGTCTGAGAGCGAATGGCTAGTTTAACTAAGACTGATAGATGCTTGCTGGAGTCTAACCCTACATATGGTCTCGAAAACCATTTGACTAAGGTTGCTTACAGTATGATATTCAGTCCGCGTGGGATGTTTAAATAGTCGGTGGGTGAGATTTGTAGGGTGGTTACACGTGGGGATTCGTTTCAGGGTGGTTGATTCGTGTATCTTTAGCTAAATATCTGCTGGCTGGTAGAGTTGAAAGACCCTATACTTTTGTATAAATATAGATTTCTCGCTCTGGTGCTTTGAATCATAGAGATATGCATGAAATTTGTAAAGATAAGGTACAGGCGGGTAACGAATCTATCTTCTCGTTCACTTGCAAAGTTCTACTGCATTGCGTGTCAGATTCCAGTCTCGGAGGTTCGTGTTGTACTAGAATTTGGGTATTCGTTGTTGGGTTATCTTTTCTCGCTGTTGTTTAGTTGATGAGATCGCGATTTCTTGGAGACTTTTCTCGTCATTATTCTATGCGGATGCTGTAATATGCATACACAGGTTTGTCAGTGAAGACCATTCCAGGTTTCTGACTGTAATTTAGAGATGTTGGAAAGGAAATCGAAGACTGGGTTTGTCTTACCTCAGCGCATGCTTGATACGTGCTATTTGTCTTTGCTCTGGGATTGGTGTTGAGAAATTCCCTGGTCTGGTGAACTCGAGAGAGGTAGAATAAAATTAATACGCGAGTCACAAATTGTGGAAATCAACACAACATAGATGGAAGGCACTTCATTTTGGAGTTCTTCACCTCAGATTATGATTTCAATGATTAATATTTGAATTACATTTTGGTTATTGATGCTTAGCTATCTAATAATACTAGGCATAGTATCTGCTTGAGAATTAACTCGAGATTCAGTGGCTACATAAAGTGGCTGATGTTCGAAGCCTAGAAAGACCTATCCATTTATCTGCATGTCAGCTACCTAAACTATCTAGAACTGGTCTTCCATCACGACCCTAGAATCATGGAACTAGCACTATTGGGATAGATACGAGATGGTGGTATCGCCACTTGCCAAGTAGTCTTCGGCGTCTGAGATGACTGTGCGTGGAGCTGATACGCTGGTTTGGCGACTTGGAAATTCGTCATCGATGTCTGGAATAACTGCACGTGGAAATGAGATAGTATTGTCCCGATTTGGAAAGTTGTCAGCGTCGGGAGTAATTGTGCGTGGAGCTGATACGGTGGTTTCGCGGCTTGCGGCGTTTTCGTAGGCGCCTGGAATGGGTGCATATGGAGACTGGTAGACGAGTTTAGGACGACTGTATGGCGACTTGTACGGAATGGGAGGACCGTTCATGAAATTTAAGTTACTGGCCAACTCATCGGCTTCAGAAGAACCCTCTTTTGAACCCTGAGAGTTATTATCCGCAAACTTGCTCATTTCCCGACTCACAATTTCGGCTTCAGGGGTCCCGGCAACCATATCAACGTCGGCACTCACGGCGGCAACACCACCGATTCTTCTTGAGCTTCTTCTAACAAAATCGTCGCTGGCGTTCAACTTCGACTTCAGACGCGAACTTCTCTTCTTCTCGGCAAGAGTTTTCTTCCCAGCCGGGCCGCTCTTCTTGGTCGAAACCTTCTTCTCACCGACAGTCTTATTTTCCCCCACAGTCAATTCCTCTGCTTCTTTTTCTTCTTCGACCACAGCAACTTCGGGTCCTCTAATGAATCCAAATGTGCATCCTCTAGGGTCTCTTGTTGGTTTGACAATGGTGTCAACTTGCTTCGGAACTTTGCCAACGCGAGCGTCAGGGCGACGCTTGGGAAGGTAGCAAGGGCTCATGACGGTGATATGATCGTGCTTTGCATCTAGCAGTGAATTAGTAGGCGACTAGAAAAGAAGCGACAGATTGATCTAGGCCAGAGGTAGAACCTCCGATAGTCCAGATAACTGTTCAAAAATGGAAAGCTTCTCAATACAATATTGTGACTGAAAGTTCGAAACACTGGACTTTTCTTGAGTGATGTGATATTTTTAAAACACCCAGAAATTGTATTCGGTCTGCCAATCCAAACTATTGGATATTCTGAGTGATTGAAACAACAGGGCAAGGGAGAATGCTGGATTATAGGCGGAAAATTGAAGTAGAAGAAAGGAGATACATACCTCTATTATAGAGTACAAACTTGTTGACTTGTCTCTTGTCATATGTGATAGAATCCGCAAATTCAGGAAGAGGTGTCGGATCCTTATCTTTCACTAGAATTTGACACAAAAGTTAGTTCTGACTGGCACTTTTATTTCTGCTCGCAAAAAACAGAGGTTGCAACAAATATGCGACAAAAGGATTGGTAGGGCAACATACAAATAGCATCGTAGACTCTAACAGTCTCCATGATGATCTCCGCATTTCTAGTTGTAATAGATGAATGGTTGTTTCTGGCTTCTAATTTCATGTTAGCTGAATTACTTCACTGGGTTTTCTGGAATTGAGGTAGAGGATTAGTGATGGAAGTATTGTAAACGTACTGGATTTCAATGCGCGCCATTGAACGTCAGTGTAATAAACCGGCAAATCAAGCATTCGCGGCATGATTAAGATTGTTGTAGAGAATCAGCCTTGTGTTTTGAAATTTGGTTGTTGTAGAAAGGAAGTGGGAGATTCTTGTGGTGGAAAGGTTTATTTGGTTGAAGTTGTGGTTCAAAATCGGACGTAGAAATTGGAGTTTGTCTTGATCTTAACCTCGACTTTCAGGTAACTTTGTAGGAGAATTTATCGTAAATTGAAGAAGAAAAATGGAAGTCGAGAATGTTGCAAAGCTGATACTTAAGTACCTAGTTAGATACTGAGTGGTGCGGTTCTCTGCATCGCTTAAGATAGGATGATTGATCTGTGATTCAGTACGGGTTCAATACGGCTGAACCGTATCTCGCTGTAGGATTTCAGTGATCGGGTGACAGTATTGAAACATTCATCTTTTGAGGGTCAGTAAATTACAACACATGTTCATGTTCAAATCATGCTTTTTATATCGGTCGCTCATTTGCATATTTCTATTAGGAAAGGTCTATCCAGGCGGAACCGAATAACGTGACTTGCAATCCGAGACCATGGGATAGGATAGAGTTTTAGGAGACTGTAAAATTAATGGGCAGAATGATTCTCGCAAGCACCAAGTGATTCACTGCTCTCTAAGATGTAACGATCGGCTTTTCTAAATCCTCGTACGATTATAGATCTTCTACTTTATACTGAGCGTAACTTGATTGTTACATTCATGGCCACCGGTATTTGAAGTCTTTTCTCGTCTAATTAAAAGTTTACGGCTTCGAGTTTAAGCATTACCAATCGCTCCGGTGGTAATCCTGCTGTTATTACCAATGATGGAGAGATGTCATAGTCCTATTACGTGCCAGCTCATCTTGACTACGGTTGATGATACGTTAATGATCTCTTCTGCTCAAGAAGCTGGAGGAAATCTTCCAGAGGAAGATCTATTTCTCTTCTCACTCTCTCATTCTTCATTTTGTATCATTCGAGTTGCTTCCCATATCTGTTGACGTGGTTTCGGATAATCTATACGGTCTCGCTCTTAAGTCTAAGGCTCTCAGTCTCGAAATGACTACATCAGAATGTGAGACTTAAACACACATTAAGTCGAAGGGAAATGTCTCTGAATTATGGATTTGATTTGAATACTTCTAGATATATGATTCCAAAATTGGTTCAAAAATATTTAGACCTTAGGATGATAGTGACAGATTAAATTTCAGGTTGCTCCCAAGCAATACCACTCCATACACATTAAAACTTACAATCATTGCGACCTTTCATAGATAAATCGGCCATTACTTTCCTATTTAACGTACATCTAATTATAAATTATAGAAACTCTCTTGCCTTCCTATGTATAATAGACTATTCTTGATGCATTCAATAAGAAAGATAACATCGAGTCCCTCAATTATGATAAGCCTCTGTGCCCGACATCTAGGAATTAATTTACAGAACACAAACACAAAAAGAATCCATTGTGCAACTCACCTTGGTAATTTCACTTTACTAAATTTCAGTGCCACGAAATCTTGATTAGGCAAGTTTAATAAATTCTATTACGATACATTTTTTTCAGTCTGCTCCAATCATTTTTCTCCCATCCAGCGACCTTAGACCTTGCCTTTTTGTCTTGAGCGTGGCATTACAATGGCTTTTAACTCCAGCATATCTGACATTGGTTGCAATTTTCTCCCAAACTGCAATTGTATATGAAACTTAAAGTGCTCTCCGTGGCAGTTGTTGGAATGGATTCTCGCTTAATCCAATCTTGAAGTTCGAGTGTCTCTGTTAGACACTTATTCACTAAATCCCTTAATATCGCTCTCTCCAACATTGTCTTTAAATTGGAGATTCTTAGAAACACTGTTGAAGAATACGCCATTGTAGTAGCCGATCTGACGATGAAGATGCTCAGATGGAATATACCGAGGTTTAGATACCATCATACGCTGATGATTTCGTTGGCGACGTGGCATTTGAGCTTCCTGTAATTTCAAGAGCGGTTGTAGGATATCCATGCTCGTAGAGGTATTGGCAGCAAAATTGTCTTCGGAGTGTATATTCCTTGGTTCGGAACTAGGAGTTGATTGCTCGACACCTTCTCTCATCCGGAGATCGATCTGATCTTGCGTTTTCCAGCCTATGCTTGGACAGGAGCTTCTAGCTTTTACTCTCTCTAAAGGGTACCCAAATATTTCTAAGTCTTCTGCTGAGGTGTGACTGTCGCCATCTAAGCGAACATGATCATTACTTTGCTTAGAGTCGCTCACACATTGATCGCTAACAGTAGTTTTCTGTTGAATACCATGACTTCGAGGTCGTGGACGAGGAGACAAAGCGGTTGAACAACCAGGAGATGTACTGTTTGAAACAAAACGGACTATAGAGTTCTCTGATGAAAAATCGGTAAAACAGCCCTCTTCGCTATTGTCAACATTGTCAACATTGTCAACATCATCGTTGACATCATCTAGTGTTTCATATGGATAAGGGCTAAGATATTCGGATGTGCGTGCCTCGGATGGTCTAGCGTTCTCGCAAGAAGCGCGAGTTCTTTCTTGAACTTCCCCTGTGGAAGTCTCTCCGTCTCCAAAGATTTTGCTTTCATTCAGACCTTGACGCCTACGCTTAACCCGAGCTTTGAAACTATGTCGAAGACGATCTAACAAAGGCATCTTGATAGGTTCTCTTTGGTGGTTTGGTGAAAGGTTTGATGGAGATGTCATTGACAAAGTCTTTGCTCTGGTTTTGTGCAAACTTCCTTATCTTCTAGAAGAAATTTAACTCCAGAGATGATCCCTTGATAACAATAATATATAATATAAGAAATTATACTACAGCTCTTCCTATAATGTCGGCGCTAGGTTACAAATAATGGGTATTATCGACATGATACATTGCATACGGTCAGTACTAATTTGTAATCAGCAAACATCTTCTATACGGTACCATATATATGATAAGATACAAGCCGTAACATTGTGCATCCACGGATATGGACATAAAGCGAGTTGCGCAAAGAAGTTATTGTGCTGTGTAGGCGATTCAGGTAAGTCAGAGATTCATGCTGGAGAAATCTCAGCGGGGGGCTAGGCTGGGAGTAGCATACCTTTCTTTATATTGATAGTAGAATGTATACGGTCGATCTCATTTACGCTTCTCAATTGAATTTCATGCTGTGTTCTGGATAGATTATAATTTAGGGTCATATGCTCGAGTATATTTCCAGATATTTGCTATAACGGGGGGGCTAGCTGTTCTGACGTCTAAATCATGGTCACACATTAATTCTCTATTCTCACATAGTGATTTCAAAAGATTTGAAAGGTTGTTCTCAGATGTTATTCGGGATAAAATCACCAAGATATGTCAAAATTATATTGCAGAGTTTTTTTTGTATAACTAGGTACTATATTTAGCCCTAAAGTGGTGTTCTCAATCTACAATTGAGATCACCTTCTCAAACGATTGTAACGAGTGGATATACCCCGTGCTTTACATTTATTCCGAAACCAATCTGCAAAAAGGACTACGAATGTCTGCAGTTGTTCCTCCCTGATAGTTCAAGATACTGTGTGCCTCCGTGACCCCAAAACCCCTTAGTCTTTGCACATAGATGCATGAGTGCTCAAAATCCACTCATGTCTTCCTCGATATATGGCCATCAGTAAAATCAAGCATTGGCTGTAGCTTGTTCTCGGTTCTGATTTATCCTCACACGTAGTCTATACGCAACTGGAAGTGACAATTCATCCCGACACAAGGGGCAAGTATCATGCTTCTTCAACCACTCAACGATACAATCTCGGCCAAAGAAGTGTCCACATTTTGGCATCTTTGCAGGCTCATGATTAGGCTCAAGGGGAATGGTAGCCTCAGCGTATGACTCAATACAGATACCGCATTGATCAAAGTCTAACGTCGCAGCGTCGACTGGTGGCAGCATATCCTTGATGGCTCTGGTTCGATCGCTGTAATTCTTCCTAATCTCAACCACAATGAACTTCACTATCCCGTCCGCATTTCCTAGAAGAGCAAATCGCTTCTGTCCATCCAAATTGGGATTTTTACGAAGTTCTTCAGTTGAAAGTAATGGCACTGTCTCCGGTTCAATATCTGCAATATCCTCAAGAGTATCGAAACCTTGCCCCGTGATTGATGAATTTCCGGGATTCACAATATCGAGTGTCATACCAGACGCTTCATATTGAGCAGTAAGATTGAGCCCATCCATGTGTCTTCGTGGTCTTGTAAAATTGAGATGATTGAATATGTCCTGTGAGAAGTTGTTTCTGGTCGATGACGAAGAGCGAATGTTGCGAAATCGTGAAAGCATGGTTTCCATGAAAGACATAGTAGATTGAATTTCCAGAAAACTCGGGACGATTTGAGATTTTGATGAGATTGATAATTACTGAATTGAAAATTGTTATTCGTCGAGTTCTTGGACTTATTGGATGATGGAAGTTACTGTGATGAATCTATAGAAAGATAGAAACTCGTATTGGCTGGCACATATGCTCCTTATAAGCTAGACATATAACTCTTACGGCATCATTCAGACAATCTGTGACAACATCTTATTACTGTCGTTGGAACATTATATTGGAAAAGTTACGGCTGCTACGGTGCAAGATAGATTTTTATTACAGTCTTTCATGTTGTCGTTTGACTTCACTATTATCATTCTCGTTTATTTAGCTATTCACTCGCGTGAGAAGCGATGATAAAATCACCGTAATTAAGGTGAGTCGGAAATTGAGCCGCACTTGTATTTTGTATATAGACTAGACCGCGTAACGAGTACGTGTAGAGCAGATTATCGACTTGGCGGACAATTCACGCATTATTTTTTCTACAGGGCAAACAATTGGGGAATTCAGACAGATTATACACATAAAATTTTAGCATATATCATTGATTCAATTTTGGCTTGGTATTGAATAAAAATCAATATGATATTGTGAATTCGATAATGGAGTTCACACATAATCGATGGAGTAGGTGAGACCATCGATGAATCATTTATAAATTAAATTATTTGTAAATCTTATGTAGGTATATATTATTCTTATATAGTCTCAATGTATGCAAGAGTCTGAACTGCCGTTCAATAATCCAAGGCTCTGATATCTAGAATCTACTATAAATTTAAAAACATTTCAATATTCTAAACAAATTTTATATCTCGTACAATTTTGAATGTTCTGATTGGTTTGGAGATTTGATAATCTTCACTATATTCCACATTGACAGAAGAGTGCCTGAGAGATATTTGAAGCTTCAAAGTTTATTTTCAAGGAATTCGCATTGATGAAGACATTAGTTAAAGTTTTAAACTCGCAATTCTGATATTAATCCAAACATTGAACTGCATGACTATTCACAAATGCGTTTGCTCGCCTATGTTCATGGATTATTTGTATAAGCTGTCTTTTTCAAACATGCATCTGAAATAGCATTTCACTATTCGATGTTCTCAAAAAATTTCTTCAAGTTTATTAATAAATTTCAAACTATCTATCATCTACATTACAACCCGAACTAAATTGATTGAGCTCTTTTACTTACAGTAGCTTCATATGCAGAAATCCAGAATGGGCTGAAAGTAGTTCCAACTGACGCTCTAGATGACAGCTCATTAATTCCTCGCCCTAAACTAATCATCCTGATATTGAGGCCCTTTAACCTCCGATAAGAGGTTATGTGACATATCAATATCCATCCTTATCAGTTCCTGCCCTGATATTCCTCATGCTCGCCATTCCTAATCCTTACACTACCCAGACCCGTATATGAAACGGCGCAGGTAGTGACACTTTCCCACGACACATTGGGCATGTGTTATTCTCCTTCAACCATTTTGTGATACACCGTCTACCGAAGGCATGCCCACACGCCTTCATTTTTACTTTATCGTGATGTGGCTCATTTGAGATGATGATCGAATTTTTTTCATCGTTTGAGGTATCGATCGAATCCTCGAAACCGTTTGCAATGATAAAAATGATATCCTCTTTTGGAATAGTTACCACTGCATCAGGCTCGCTTAGAGTGGTAGCCGTGGCATATGGCTCAATGCAAATGCTACAATTATCCTCCAAATCAAGTGTTTCCACATCCACAGACTCGATTATTTCCTTGATAGCCTCGATTCGATACGTGGAATCGAATAGTATTTTCACACTCAGGCTTCTCATGCCCCCATCATGATAGTACAGAGCTGTGTTGAACCGATTTTCTTCTTCCAAATCTTCTTCAACGTCAAGCTCACCAGAAGATATGCTCGGATCGTCGCTATATGCTATTTCAAAAGCGGCTCTTGCGATGTTCTCGAACTCCAGATTGGTGCGGCTCATGTCGCTATTGGGTGAAATAACTTCGATTGTGACTCCACGTGTCGCAATCATAGTTGATATCATTGTGGGGGTCGGAATCGATGGTATTATTGGCGTCTGCGGTCTTGTGATATTCATCGGTACTTGTGGTAGTATCGTGTTCTCAGAAACTCGGAAATCACGTGGTGGGATGCGTTGCGAGCGCGAATTAAGTCTGTGAGGAGGCATGGTGCTTCCGGTCTGTTGGAGGATGGAAATGATATTCGTTTTATCTTTCTTATAAGTTGGTATTAGATGGGTGTCTATGTTTCCAAGAAACCTGCTATATGATGTTCTAATATCCAATGTCGACAAAGTGTTGTGAGGTGGTTGGAAAACGTTACCTGCAGTTGATGAACGAATAGGGAGAGAAATGAGTAAGTCCCAGTTACAAGACTTGTTTATAAAGTATTAATTATATTCATACGGTTCCACTATTATCATCGATACGGTCTGTCTGATGCAGAAAATAGTAAATGCAAATACGGTCTATCATGCTATGCATGTACCTCAGGGGACAAAATGTGAATTCTACTGCTTATTGCTTTGGTAAAAAAAAAGGTTAAATGATCTTCCACTTTGAATCAGTGGGATTGGAAAGTGGTGAATGTAAGATCTTACCAAGAGAGATATATTAATTTCATATACCTGCTTCTTGGATTACACACGCCAAGACGAAGTCGGATCATGGGGGACGATACATATATACATAGTCATTGTCACGTCGGCTCTGGCTCTATTGGAATTACAGTATTTGTCAGACATGCTAAGAGCCAGAGAGCTTCAATTTAGAAGATTCATCTGAAGGAAGATGATTGAAGCGAGTGTAGCAGGAACAATTGTACTTATTGATGGTTCTAAGAGGAAGTTCGAAGCTAAGCTTCGAACTTATCCAATCAACTAGGCTGAAGAAGCTAACTATATCCGGCCACGTATACTATAGATCCGTGCTTCCTTGCATATGAAGTGACGATTAATGAGTTCAGCCCTATATCTCAAATTACTAGTTGCTGCTGTAGCGTGTTCTCTTTGATAGCTTGTGGCCCACTTATAAGTCTGATCTTGCTACATTAACCGAGACTCTATGATGCGAATCTAGGTTGCTAGACCAGATTATATAATGAGAGGCTATCATGTAGTGAAATAATGCATTTATATTATGAAATTAGGCGTTAGATTGTATAGAGGTAGGTTCTATGTCAAGAGAATAGATTTCACGGCAAAATGGCCAATCATGTGCCTCCCTTCCTTCCTTCTTCCTCGAACCGTAGATTCTATTCTATGACTATTGGGACACCAGTAACTTAGAATTTTGATATAGATTATAGGATAAACTCTATTTAGAATTCATGATAGAATCTACGAGTCCCAAGGGCATGTCAATAACTTGTCGTGGTTTTAATGTCTCTGAATGCGATTTTTCTTCATTTTTTTTTTATTGTCTACGCATTTTAATTATCTGTTTGATATCCCGCTTGATCGTCAAAGATCCTTTCCAAGTGCACTGAATAAACGCTGATTTGATGTTACATTGTGCCTGCGCACGCAACTGGACCATTACAAATGTCTGAAAACCTCACTGAGCCATTTCGGTCAAAGAAACCCCAGCTGTAATTCATATTCCAACCCGCTGAGAGACCTCCAGGGACGAAATTTCTCTATTCAATATCTACCTGATTCCGGCACAGGGGGCAGGTAGAGCTGTCCATGAACCATTGAATAATACAGTATCTGCCAAATACGTGCAAGCATTTTGGAACTGTACAAGCCATGTGAGAGTTGTCGGTGTCGGGCTTTATATTAAACGATGTCCTGCAGTCACTGCAATAGCGCATATCCCTGACCACAGTAGGAGCATCTGAGGTTGTACTGTATGATTCGTGACAAATAGAACAGCGGTCTGATTCGTCAGCAGATACGGAACGAAGAAGATTTTCGATCTTTTCGAGTCGAAAATGCTCATAACAAGGGCGGTTGACCATCGTCTCATCGTCAAAGATCAAGGGTGAAGAAGCAGGTTGATCCTCCAACACCAAGGATCGTGCTTCTTCACTCTCGGTTTGAACACCCACCATTTCCTCGTGATTTTCAGATAACTCTCGTGTTTCTCTACCATCGTCTCGAGAGACCACTTCTATTTCCATGTGGTTTTCAGATAATTGACGTGCTTCTCGAAGTATTCTAAACAACTCTGACGCCGTTCTTCCAGTTACTATATTAATACTACGTATCAATTGCTGTGAAGTATCAGCCATTTGCTATGATTATCTGAGGCTATCAGCCCAAGCAACTGGTCAAAAAATACATTTATCTCAGCGTCAGACCATGACAGAGCTTCTTGGGGTGGAGAATCTGCCATAATTATTGTATATCCGTAAATGATACTCGTTGATGGGTCGGGTGCGTTTTTTTGGGGAGTAATTCCTATATTCTTTAAATATGAGAAGTGCTAATGAATAGACTTTGAGGTTCTCTGACCTGTGTTAATTTTTCTCCAACTTATTAAATAGATGATTTGTGTGAGAATTTGGAAGAATGTACTTTACCTTTTTATATCCAAAAATGGACAGAGTGGCTCAAACCACTTGCTTAAGCACTAGAGTAATATACATGCTGTTTAAAGTTTAGCTTGACAACTATCTAGTCTCTTCGAATTCTTGAGTTTAACAACACACACTAAGTCTATCAGTCGAGTAGTGCACAAGATCGGGAAGCTGCGTTGACTTTCGACATTCCGTGTGATATCCCAAGATGATACAAAGTACTATGCTTGTTCTGCCATAATTCATGGCTGTACTCACGTTGATTTGATTACAATTTTGTGATGATGAGATAGTCCCATGGAAACTTTCTCTAGTGATATCCTGTTGTGCAAGATCGCAAGCGTCAAGAGACTACTAAATGGGCTGTTTGTAATATTTGGTTCTCCTCAACTCTTTCTCTCTAAGAGTCAAGAAGATACTACATGGTTTCAATAAAATTAAGTTTCTTTCCATTCATTTTGTGAATTTCAACATGGAAGGGAATCAATATAAGCTTTGAAGGTTCGTTCCTTCTCTATTCGCTTTCTCCCTCACCCTTACCCAGCTGCATTTAGTTTATCGATCGATATATAGTAAATCTGCAGTTTCTGGCAACGGTGATATGCATACATCAAACTTAAGTGCCAAGAAGTAGCGATAGACCTGTAAAACGTGCTGCAAGAGGTTCAGATTGGGAGGTAATCATACTATCCGTCTAGTTCAATGAGGTCTCAAACCCCTTCTTAATACATGATGCAAGGTTTTGACGTTACATTCCAGATTTGCTGTCAAAGAAATAAATTTTAAAGTAGCGAGTCTTAGTGTAGCTCAAGAAGCCGTCAGAGTAGTGAAAGAAGTCATTCGCCGGATCGACGGCTAAAAGTACACTTGTCAATTGAAATTAGTTTGAAAATCAAGTCTTTCTCAAATGTGTTTTTTAATTGTATAATATTTCTTGGAGCTACCTATCTTATAAGGCGTTCACTCGGCCACTCGAAGTTGTATTCAAAAAGAGCATTCGTTTTTGTCCCACCATTATGTTACAAGTGACCACTGAGATCACCAATGCTTGTTAGTTTTATGACATAGTATCATACTCGACTATTCCTCCCCAATAACTCCTTCACCTCTTCCAACTCTGAGGTATTGCGACCAATCAATCATCGTCATCATCTTCAGAGTCAGTTGGAATGTCGAGTTTAGCGCGGCACATCGGACATGTGTTCTTTTTCTCTTGCTTGAGCCATATGTTGATACATTCTCGCCCAAAAACATGCTTACAGCCTGGTACCATACAAGCGCTATGAGAAGCACCATTTTCTGCATTTGAGTCGTAGTTTTCATTGCAGATTGGGCATTGGACCCATTCCGTTTGCGTTTCGTCAATCAGGACTGGAATCAAAAGCTCGTCGATGGCCTGGTTTCTGGAATTCTTCTCGATATATGCGTAAGACTGGCGTGGGCTTAAGGTTGCGTAGTAATCGTAGAAAGACTCCATTGTCTCTACAGATACCGTTGCGACTGGTACTCCTTCATTGATTTCGATTGTCGAAGCTGGAGTGGTGCCACTGCCATTACGGTCGTTCAATTGTTGCGTGTAGAGCCTGATAGCTTCCACTACATTCCGATTATTTGAAAGGCTTTCTGGGAACCTGATTTGAAGAAACTGTTCAAATGCGGTCAGGATCCCAGCATTATGAGCCTGTATGTCCTCAACAGCAGCATCCTGTGGCACATCCAAAAGCTCTTCGTTTTCGGCAGGATTACTACTCTCAGAATCGCCGGAAGAAGTAGTATCGGAATGAATTTCATCTTGCAAATTATTTTCCTGCAGAGTGAGAGCTTGGTCGTTCGGTTGGCTTCCTGCCTCTGTATGATTACCAGAAGGTCCTTCACCTTCAAGAATCTCGACAAAATCGACATTTTCAGCAAGCTCTTGAGAATTGGTGTCTTCCGAAAATCTATCTTGCGAAGCTGTGACTTGTGGTATTTCGTCCACCCGAACAGTAACTTGGTGCTGAGGATGAAGTGCCAGTGATACAGCAACAGGGGACCAAGCATTTCCTGAAGTATTTTGTTGCTCAGTCCTTTCTAGCTCCTCAGTGGCCGATATGTAATTCTCTCTAGAAGACATGATGATGGGATTTTCTGTGTGTGCAGTGTTGAAAGTTGAAGAGTGAGAAGAGTTTAGTTTTCTTGTGATATTGTAGATTTAATGTATCTCGAACAGTTCTTGAGTTGCCAGGAGAATCTGAAGTTTTTAGTCACTGGGTGAAATACTTGACATAAGAGACAGTTTTATCATGAGAGATATTGTAAGGAACATGGAAGTATCATGCTCATAACAAACGATTCTTAAATATTGCAAATCACATCGATATACAACAAGCGACTTTCAGTACAGCAGTCTGCCAAAGTTCTGACACATATTAGGACCACTTTAATATTGGTTGCTGATAAGATGAATAGATGAAGGTGAATACTCAAGGGACTTGGAGATTAGTGACCAAAAATATGAATTTGGTTCACAAATAAATTTTAGATTTCCAGAAATACTTTGCAGGATCAGAAATGTTATATACAAAATATCAAATACAGTAAAGTTTATATATTAATGAAATCATTCATTTAGGAAGTTGTTCTTAATACTCAAAGCTTGAATAACCACGCAAACGTTAAAATCAAAATTGATTGTATCACTTAAGAATCTGAGAACTTAACTAAGTTTCTTTTATCTAAATAATTTCAAGATTCACTTGAATTGTAGACTCAGCTCTCTAGGAAAATAAACTCTGGGGAGATTTTACTAAACGGGAAACTGGCTAGGTAGGTAGGCACAGAATGTTGTAGACCTCACCTTATAATCACAAGATGCTAAAGTAATACTGAAGCCACAGTATCTTTAGTGCCTACTATGAAGAACGAGAAGGTATAGACAAGTTAGTTTCTGACAATATCCAAGGCCACAAAGAACTTATATAGAACTTATATGGAACATATCAGTCATTCTCTTCAAGTGATGAGTTTCTACACATTTCATAAAGTGCATTTAACCATATAATTCCATTATTCCCAGCAACTATAAGCTATTTATACCCAAAATTCATTGTATGCTCAAGGTGTGAGATAGTGTATTTCATTTCCCAATCTAATTATCGCTCTGCTATACCCAATCTTTGTTATACAAACTCACACCAGCTGATCTTTTTAAAATCTTTTTCCACTATGTACTCATGCTTTGAGTTTCCCTACTAGGAATCTGTCTTACTGTGTATTTTCATCAGGATGCACTCTCTCGTGATAAAAATTATTCATTTTGCTTATTGGTTTGACAAGGTGGTGAAGCAGTTTTCTAGCTAGTTTTAGATTGGCTTTGTAATTTTGAGAAGTCACTGTGTCTAATTCACATGCATATAAGTCATTGTTTTCAAAAGATGCTTGCAAATTATCCTAAGTGAAAAAGGAAGCAGTGCAAGGAAACTGTCGTAGGCCCAGTGAAGCCACAATGTGCTGTCAGAATCGGTATCAACTTCCATACCTATTCTCACCTCCATGATCCAGAAACGAGTTCATATATCAAAGAAGACCTTTCGCCGATCTTGTTCACATATGCTTAAATCGGGGTCAACCTCCCTCCCCCACCACAGTTCCCCTCTGTGAATAAAATGGTAGCTCAAGGTTTCTAGCAAGCACCAACTCAATAGGAAACTATTCGTGGAAAGCCATCGCAAACTACCTTCCCAGAATTCTGACCCTCCCCTATCGAAATTATCTAGCTATACTCGTCGTTATCAACCCCGCCTATATTGCGTCCGTCGAATGGTCCTCCCCCAACCTTTACCAATCTTCATGACTGTTAATCAATTCTCGTGCCTCTTGGGACAAAGCACTCAGAGTATCATGCGCAGCCGCGCATTTCGGACAGGTATCATGTTTCATCAACCACTTCTTGATACAACATCTTCCATAAACATGGGTGCAGTGAGCCAACTTCACACGCTCGTGGGGTGAACCACCATCTCCGAATTCCTGAAAACAGAAACAACGATCGATGTGGATTGTTTGGAGAATGCTGTCAACGACCTCTCCTCTCTTCTTCTCCAATTCCTCTCTTTCTCTTTGTTCGCGCTCTCTCTTCTCTCTTGCTCTACGCTCTCTCTCTCTGTGTCTTCTCTCTCTCTCCTCTCGTCTTCTCTCCTCTGCCTCTCTGATGGCTCTCTGTCTCTCCTGTTCACGGATCTGTTTGAGCTCTTGCTCAAGTTCTATTTCTCGACTTCGCATCCTATCAATAGCGCCTTGATGTCTCGCATAGCGTTGTCTACGTTCCCCATGCACCGCGACGTTTGACCGAGCAGGTGGACGCTCTGCGTGCGAAACTGGATCTCTACCAGCTGGATGATATTCACTTCCGCGGAAGTCTGCCGGATGAACAGGATTGTTGGTTTCATCATGTGGCGTAGGGATATTCCACATACGTGGTGATCTAGGTAGACCACGTGCGGCTCTTGCAGCGTCCAGTCGCTCAGCAAGATGTGGGCTGATAACTGGTGGCCTAGTTGCGCCGTTAGCTCGACCATGGTGAAGCTCTGCGATCAACAAGGGAGAAGTGATTCCTGGGTGAATGGGATCGCGTTGCTCAGGCTGAGGTCTTAGAGTTTCAGAAGACCTATGTCTAGACACGTTTGGAGTAGTCTCTCCAGTCTGTGTATTCGATCCGATGTTCGAGCTTCCGGATGTGTTAGAACTATCACGTCCGTGTCTTGATCTAGTATCAGATCCATCGCGATCGCTGTTTTCGTGACGGTGACTAGTGGATGATCTGTTGCCGATTTCAGCTCTGCGAGCGGCATCATTGTTGCTTGCGTTTGATTCATGAGCAACTTGAGTACCAGATGCAGTATCCCGATGAGATGTATCTTGTGATCTCAAAGTAGTAAGATCGCCTGAAGATGAAGCACCCTGTGAATTTTGGTGGCCATCTCTAGAGGCGGATCGATCACGAGCGAGGAAATCTTGGATTTCAACAGGATTTTCTTCCCCTGTCAATTCATCCGACTCATCTTGATCAGCAACAGGATATGCTCGTTGTCTAGGCATTGGCAATTGTTGTGCTGTGTTCTCTGGGGTTCTTACCAAACTAGTGTGATGAGCTGACACACGTGCACGGCGTTGAATGAGATCTCCATAATCACGGGCGCTTCTTGGTTGTGTTGAAGATTGTCTAACAGCAACTGGAAGATGTGATTTTGCGGCTGTCTGGGGAGCACTTACAGCTCTAGGCTGTACCGAAGATGGCTGACGATTTTCACGAGCAGCTGATTGACCTTCGGCTCGACGTGAGTTAGAGGGTTCTGGTCGCGAGCTTGCGCGATTAGTAACAGTGGATCTCTCTTGTAATGAAGTGAATCTAACTGCAACTGGAAGTCTGGAAACCGAGGCGCGTGGCTCTGGGTTGCTGACGACTCTTGGTGGTAGCTGAGTATCTTCAGTATTGTTCGAGCTCATACAGCGATTTGGAGATGAGTGATGAGCATCTTCTCTTAATTCATGACCGGAGTTAGCGGCAATGGTGTCTTCCTGATGAGTGAGCTCTTGCTCAGAAGTATCGGCACTGGCTTGGGGAGATGAAGCTGCGATAGCTTCCTCGACAAGATGTAAATATGGCTCAGCAGGATCAGCTACTGGCTCTGGAATTACCAAGTTGCTACTATAGTCATATGGTGGGGGAGTAGCTTCGCGCGGTTCTACCTCAGCTTGTGAAACAGGAATGATTACCTGTGGTGACATTGAGTAGATGCGAGAAACCACAGGGACATGGTTCGTGACTTGGTTCGAGCCTACATGGCGCTCTCTGGTCGATGGATCGTGTGCCATTCGGTCCGACAATGTGTCTTGTGGGAAATTTCCCTCCGATTCTGAACTGCGTTCATGAATTGATGGATCGCGAGCCATTCGCATCAAGAAGGCTTCATGCTCTGCAGCTTCGTCCACGCCTGTTGGGAGCTCTGTCAATGGTGCGAAAAGATCCTCATAGTTGGGAGGAGTATTTAGGTGTTTGGGGTTGGTAGATTTGCGGGAGCGTCTGGTACCCTTGAGGTAGAAAGCGCTAGTGATGGATCCGCCGACGTCACGAAAGAAATTCGAGAATTTAGTCATGATGAACGAGTTGTTTGTAAAAGTTTTAGAGTGAAAAGGTTAAGGTGGAAATGTTTTGGAGGTTTCTAAAGATTAAGAGTTTCTTGAATAAGTCAAGGTCAGATAAATGGAGGTGGTCAAGATGTTATTGTAGATGTTAATCTGTAGATGAAAGATAGGGAAAGAGAATGGATGTTTTTGGAGGAACATTCTGTTGCCTATATATGAAATGAAGCTCTATGATGGCCAGTACTAGTCTGCTAGCGTCATAAGCCGTTATGTAATCCTTCAATATAGTACTGTTCTTGGTGCTGTTCGTACAATGTAGCAGTTGAGAATTTCTACAGCACAAAATTTACTTTCAACGGGGCATTGCCGTACCCATGATTTACTTTTGACGTATCATAACCGTAGCTAAAATTTGATTGTGTTCTACTCCCCCGCCGTAGCTCCTGAAAGTCTTTGTAGTAGCTTACTATCGCTTTCACTCGCTAATGACTTTCAAAGGGGGTAACGAGTCATGTCATCAATAGTGCCAAGACATCTAAACACATTTCCTAATAGCTACGATGGCTCAAATCGCAAGATCCCAGATAACATAATCACATAAGCAAAATAATAGTAAAAGATCACTTCCATTGGAGTTTATCAAGTATCATAGTAGACATAATTTTCATTGTTTAGAATTGAATGATTGAAAACTCTTTCATCTGCTGGACTCAAATTTGATACAATCGGCCACTCCAGCATTCATCTAGCTTATCTAATGACTATCTACTCTTCACTTCTCTGTCCACCAAGCCTTCCTAACTCAGAAATGATAGTCAATGATACTGTAACCATCGTCTGTTCTACTTCGCGTTACCGGTCCATCTCTCGGTAAATGAACCACTTTCCTACACATCGGGCAAGTCGAGGGGCTATTTTCGCCCAACCATTTCACGATGCAACACTTCCCAAAAATATGTGGGCAATCTGGCATCTTAACCGGTCCGTGCGAATTATTGTATATTTTCGCTGTAGCTTCTGCGTATGGTTCGTTGCAGAAACAAGGACTCAGATCATCTGTGCCTCTATCGACTGGCTTCAGAAGTGCTCTAATTGCATCCTTTTTCTCCGAAGATACAGGCATATTCGCGAGTTCGGGAATTCTCTGCTCCTCAAGGGCGGGAATATCCTCGTTTTGTAATTCTGGTGGTACTCCTGTATCTGTCAAGAGAATTCGTAAATCGTCACTAAGAAGATAGTACTGATCTAAGTACACCGCGCCGTTTCCTTGTTCGATTTCGGTGATGAAGATGATATGATCTGTGTCTTCCGCTTCTGTAGCGTTAAATGCGTCCATTGGTGGTATTATATCGAGGTGATATAGGTTTCAGTTTGGTGATAATCTCTGTACTAGACTATTGGAGTGAGTCGCGTTTCTGGAGAGTAATTTTCTGAATTGGCTGACACTTTTCGATATTTCAGTCGCTGTTGTATGAACTGCTTTCTTTTTTTGAACCTCGAGCTTTGGAGAAGTAACAAAATACACCACGAAACTTCTACGAAGCTGGTATGATCAAGCTGGTAGATCTTTGTAGGTAATGTTGATGTTGATGTGGATTGTCAAAGTTATGGAAAGATCCGTGATGATTCGATGTGGAGGTCTTTCGAGTAGTTGATTCGATTCTAATGAAGTGGGATGTGGTGAGAGAGAGAATGATATATATATATAGTGATATTATAGACGCTAGGAATCAAATCAGCACAACACTCAATAGTACTGTAGCTTTGCAATATAGTGTATTGAGGTGCGGTATCATCCATACAGCTTCAGTCAGCATATTTTGAAGCGTACTAATAATCTTTTGATCGCCGTACCATTCGCATCGCGAACAATGATGGAAATTGTATTTCCATTCCCTGCTTCTCCCTTTCATCACTAGCTCAAATTCTAAGAATTTTCACAGTAAGAGCCAAATAGTAATCATCTTTTGATGGGTTGGTTGAACTAGATCAAGCTCTAGTATTTACTTTAATTTGTAGCAATCAAAAAGGACCTATAGGCAGAAATATATAATAAGCGACAATCTCAGACTCGTGAATCTGACTCCTTTAGAAGAAGTACTTGACAACTATGAGGATCTGGCCTTGCCCATTGCGAAAATTCTCACTGGTTTTTCGTGTCAACGTAGTCTCATACTCTTCGTTCAATGTGTTGGAGTCTATATATTTTCTTGAAAATCAAATCCAATTATTTTCCTGCTGATAGCCAGCAATTCAAGTTTCCTAGATAACACCCTAAATAAAAGATTCTTCTTTCCCAGTTCCTTACGCCTGGTATTATCTAAACCTGCATCAAGTTCAATACCTCCAGTAGATATTCGTCCTATTTCTCTACTCACTATTCAGTATCATCTTGAGCATCCAATCTTCGCCATGTGACTTGGCACATAAGTGCCAGTTTTCCATGCCAACCTGCGCCAAAAGGTCCACTCATAGTTGTTCATTCGTCCCTCTTTTTCTTACCAGCGACTGACGTGAAGAGTCAAAGCCCCCTCTAAGTACCCAGTGCTCACTCAACTGCAACATAATCATTCCAAAGGTATCACCACAATCTTTTGCCTACACATCGGACAGGTATCCTTCTCCTGAAGCCACTCTACAATACAGGAGCGCCCAAAGATATGCGTGCACCTTGGCATTCTGACAGCTTCATGGCATTCCCCATTAGCAGTTTCAATCGCGTAGGGGTCACTGCAAAAGCAAGGGTCTATTTCCTCCAAAGTCTTCTGAGTAGGACGCAGAGATGCATCGACTAAAGCTTTGCGAAAATACCAGTCTAAATCTTTGGCATGAGTATCCTGAAAAGTGTCAGAGCCGAGGCTTTCTCGACTCTGGGGAGGATTGTCGGTTACTGATGTAGGCTCGTCATTTGTAGCTGCCCGTGGCTCCGGCGTCTCAGCCTGGTCTCGTCGCAACACCGATAATTCTTGTCGGAGCAACTTCTGTGTCTTAGAATACACAACCTCACGCACTATTCGACATTCGCGGGTCAATTTAGTTTCATTGGCGGGAGTCGAAGAAGATCTTCTAGCTCCAGAAGCGGTGGTTGCACGCGAGGATGTGTTAACGTCGCGAGCTTCGGAAGCGTGTCTTAAATGGTAAATTCGCCGTTGATTGGGTCGGTTGCGTCTTCGTAGATCACCTAAGCGTTGCAGAGCCTCGGTGAGGCGTTCGATATCTGACATGTTTATTGGCCACGATTCGAGGCAGTAAGAAAGATTTCCTCCTAATGTTAAAAGATCTTCGAGCAATTAGATCCCTGAGTTCGGTAAAGATGATGGTTTAGATCGCAGATGAAGATTTTGTTGTTCCGGATATGAAGAACAAGTGATCTCAGACAGTTGTTTAGTACTTAAACAATTGAAAATAAACAATTCCGTATATGATTAACCGAAGCTTAATGTATTGATCACTTTCACGTTGAACCGTAGAGACCATGCAAAGTGAGAGTGTGAGAGGACATGATGCAAATCAATCGTGCACTGATAATTTGTACAGTTTGATTCGAATCTAGACCCAAGCATTCGTTAAGTATTTATGATTGAGTGAGCGATCAGAAGTACATATTGAGATACCTAGGTGCCGAAGTAATGCTTCACCCCAAGAGTGACAAGTACGGGGTGATCTATGCAAATAAGTTTCTGTGAGATTTTGATAACAACGATGATTCACGTCCAGTTGCCTGTACGTGTTCATTTTCTAGAGCGGTGCATCGACAATTCTTCTACTATCCATTCAGAGAGAAGAAGCAGTAATGAAGACTTTGGATGTTCAAGAATACTCATAGGCACTGTCGGATTGTTATTCCACAATAACGGTTTCAAGTTCCATGAATCAAATCAGTCTGCAGTTGCAGAATCTAGAGTATATAAGAATTGAGGTGCTGACAGTACAGATGTAAATACATGTATCTCTCATATCCATCACCTGAATAGGCTTATCTTGATAGAGTTGAGTTTGGCATATACTTTATGCGTTCGGAATGAATACTTCCACGACTTGCGATATAATTTATAACAGCCTACTACTGTATGTTCTTTGCTAATTTTGCCAGTGTAGAAGCTGTCACAAGAAGGCCTTTCTTGAACCATCTGTGTAGCATTTCATTCAACCCCAACCCACCGCCTGACGTCCGCTTCTTATAAACATCGATAAAGGCTACTGTCCAAGCCAGAAGAACAAATGTTCTCTTTGTCCATTTCTTGAGGAAGCCTTTCCGCGTATATACAATGTTCCAGTGTCTCCAAGTTGGGAACGAACAGCGATACAAAAAATCGAGTTGAGTGTATCTAAAACCGATTAGTTCATGGATGTGAGTAAGAGAAAGAGAATTCATACGGGTAAGTGTTCGAATTCCATCCATCATCACGGAGATACCAATTCTTCGTACGAGTGTCTGCCCATACCATCTTTCTCAAAGCAGACTGAATTTGAGTCGTCCATTTCATTTGAGCCTCTTGTTTGACCTCTATCTTGGTGATGTCACCATTGAGCAAAGGCTTGATAAAGTTAAGAGTTTGAGTTACGGCACTTTCCGTCGTATAGATAACGGATGTATGGCCAGTGAAGCAATTTGGGCCGACCAAAGTGAAGAAGTTTGGAAATCCATCCATGGCAGTTCCCATGTACATTTGAGGACCACCCCGTTCTTCAAACACGTCTTGCAACGTTTGTCCTACCTTACCGTAGACATTAAATGGATGGAACCATTTCGTTGTTTGGAACCCATTTGCAAGAACGATAACATCAGCAGGAATGGTAATTTTGTCAGTTGGCACGGAGCTTGCTGCGTCTTCAGGTGGATAGTTACGACCAGGTCCCAAAGTTACAGTATCTTCTTCAAGGCTCTTCAGTGGAAGCGTTGTCAGATGAATTTTCGGGTCATTCAAAGATGCGTACCAATCCGGGTCCCAGATCCTCCTCTTACAACCGATTCCATAATTTGGAGTCAAAATCTCGTGATACTTCTCAGGCGCTTTACTTTTCATGTAAGCCAAGCAACCAGCTTCCGCCTTTCTTCGTTCCCTCTCGCCGAAAGGACCAGATCGAAATAATCGAAAATCGTATTCAAGTACGGCGCCTAATGAATAACGCATGGCTTTGTTGAAACCTGGTAGGTATGTGTTCAGTGTTGGGGACCATTTATTCCACAATTTCTCTCCTAGTGGCGGTATGACTTTGGGCAAAACCCATGGTGGAGAATGCATTAGTTGAGTTACAGACTTTGCACCATACTCAGTCACGAGTTTTGGCACGAATTGTGCTGCACTGCAACCAGTTCCTACAACTACCACATTCTTGTCCTTAAGATTGACATCAAATCGCCAACGAGCGGAGTGGAAGATTTCTCCTTTGAAATTTTCTTTTCCGGGGATACTCTCGGGCCACGATTTTGGTTGAACGAGACCTCCAACAGCACTTATTAAGATTCTGCATCGAATCTTTTCTTCATAGGTATAAACGGCGCTGTGGCCTTGCTCTTCGACCTTAAGTGCTCGATCTTTTTCACTCAAATCTCCAGCACCAACCATCAAGTGTTGCAATGTTACTTCCCAAACTTGTTCGTTTTCGAGCCAGCGTGCTTCTTTGGCGTCGGTATTGACTTGTATTTTATCCACAATTGCATACTTTACGCAAACAGTCTGTAGATATTCGGCCATCTCTGCGCCTCCTGGATGAAAACATGACCAATCATACTTTGGGCAGAACGAGAATGAATAGAATGTTGAGGGTCTATCATAAACTGTCAGCATGAATCTACTGTCAGATATAGTCTCATTGGGCGAGAGACTGACATATCGCAAGCAACTCCGGGGTAGCGATTGATCCACCATGTCCCCCCAATTCCCGATTGCCTATCAAATATGCGAAACTGATCAAACCCTAGGACTTCCTTCAAACGGCATCCCATGGCAATACCCGATTCACCAGCACCGATGATAGCAATGGGGTAATATGTATACTCGTGGGCTTCATGATTGATTCGGACAACATTGCCATACTATATATGGATTCAATATAGGTTAGCTATTATTCTATTTCAATGTTGGCAAGAAGAAAATAAGCAGAGGCCATTACGACAGGACTAACATTTCCTTTAGTCTGAGTAGACATCTTGTCCTAAATATCCGTATGAATTAGGCTTACTTCCGAAACTTGAGTGAATGGCTCTTCCAGAGCTTCAGTGAGGAGTAGACGGAGGATTTCACTGGCACAAGTAGATCGGGCGATCTCCCGAAGTATGTTGAAATTGATGAAGAAGGAGCTGAGCTTGAGGAAGGTCCTAATTGATGCAATAACAAAGAATCATTTTTGTTTTAAAGGTTAAATAGGGAAAAACAGAACGACTCCTCGCGCGGGGTCTGCGAGAAAGCTTCGGCATTCAGCCAGCCACTCGATACGACCTTACTGTCTCTGTTTGGTGTGCGGGCCGAGGTGTCGGCATCGCATGCATATATAGATACTTCACTTCAATAGCGCATGTGCAAAACCATCACTTTGGAGAAGCAAAAACCGTTTAGTTTGTATGTATTCAAGTTCACGACAAGACCTTAGAGAGAGTTAATTATAATAAAGACACACAAACTTCTAAGAACACAAAACCTCAACTCCTGATGACTGGAAAGGTTCAAATCACATAGGTTATGAAGAGAGACATTCATTTTGATGGGAGGAAGACTTACCTATATTAATTAATTATTAAGGTTACCGGCCCGAGCCAACCAGTTGTGCTAGATCAAATGGTCTGTGCCATCCGTCACTTAGCTTGTACAGTGGTTATATGAATAAATGATGTAAAACCCACTTTTACTAAAAACTTGCTGTTTCTATATATTCTATTATTACTTTAAGCAATTCAAATATATATTGAATTATCTTCTCAAATTTCGATTTTCAAATTCTCTTTTATTTATAAAGACTTATAAAGCTTTTAAAGATTTTAAAGATTTTAATAAACTATTTAATAAAATTATTAAGGAATAAATCCATTTTAATATATTAATATATTGAAATTTATATTTACAATATTTTGATATATTAGAATTTATTATATTAATTTTCAAAGAGTATAATATTTTGATTAATTAAAGCCCTTGTATATACGGAAAAGCACAACTGCTTTTTGGTGTGTTTTACAATACTTACCCTTACAATCATCGTACACTGTGCACTGTGCACTGGCCGCAAAGTGCAGTGCTGTGCTAAGGTCATCCCTACAAACAAAATGTCAATCTTCAACTGCATGGTAATTAACCATTAGACCATCAACCACACAATATGCGATTGCGTCTAATCAATACAATACTTCAAACAACAAAATGCAAACGAGCATTCTCTTCGCCAATTGCCATGCGCAAATACCACAATTTACCGTCCGTTCAAACAATCAACTCCTCTTTTGACAACGTCAACCTAGATGAATTCAGACAAGAAGCCTTCATTCCCATGAAGCCTATATTCATAAAATCCGTGGAAGACGAATCATCAACGAGCTCAGAGAGGAAAAAGTCTATAGATATAGTTGCGAAATGGTTCAAACCCATTCCTTCGTCACAATTTGCAAAAGCCCTTCCACCTACTGAGACTAGCACTCTTCTGCCATCGCAATATCTCCATAGCTTCGCAGACACTGTCCTCCCTTACGAATTGACAGTCGACTCTGACGCCTTACGAAAGCGACTCGAGCGGCTTATACAGCCCAGCAATACACACCACATGATGTTTTCGGAGCAACTACGCCAATCACTAGAGCCTTACGATTCCAAAAAGTCATTCTACCATTTCTATGCACCATTCTCTCTCTTTCTATCAGCTACTCATCCGGAATGCTCTCTCCCGCTCTACATTGCACAGGCTCAAATAGCGGATCTGCCGACAGAAATACAACGAGACCTGCCTACACCCAAATTGGTGAAAGAGGCCGGGAAAGGCGATGTTTACGATGCCAATGTATGGATGGGTATATCAACAAGTTATACACCATTACACAAAGATCCGAATCCGAATCTTTTTATACAGCTGGTGAGCAAGAAAAGGGTCCGATTGTTTCCACCAGCCGTTGGTGCAGGGATATATCATAACGTACAACAAAGTATTGGTGCATCGGGAATTGCCAGCATGAGAGGTGAGGAGATGATGGAAGGTCCAGAAAGATCTCTACTTGAGGATCGTGTTTGGGGAGAAAAAGTCATAGACCAGGGTTTCGAGGTCGAGGTTGGGCCCGGGGATGCGTTGTTCATACCAAAAGGATGGTGGCATAGCATAAGAAGTTCAGAGAGTGGAATTAACGCATCCGTGAACTGGTGGTTCAGGTGAAGTATATGGTACCCAAATGCATTCTTCTTTGTGTCATTAATGCTTTCGCATTGCCCTTTTACAAATTAACCTTTTTTGTACAGATATTTCCTGTTACCCATCAGATCTGACCAACAATATCTTCCTATTGTGCAGCTTTCTGCTGCTTTAGCCTCTTGAACAAACTCAGATCTAGTGGAAGCTGTTCTCCCATCCAAATCGCTCTCTGCGTATGGTCTCTCTCTTCGTCTAACAACTCTCCTTTCTTATCAACCGTGTTAGGATGGACTAACGCGCTTAACGGTCCCCTGTTAATCACCAGCCAAGGTATGAAAGCGCCAAATTGTGCCGGAGTGAAGAGATTCACTTCGAACATCGCAACAGCATGAGGCCCAATTGGTTCTTCCCAGAATCTGTAGATGCGAAGCTCTGGAACTATATCCTGAGTCAGTACGAACGCAAGAATCCCACGGGACTGACTATAGAGATAGAATCCTACATTCTCTTCTAATCCTCTGCCACAACTCTCTAGCAAACTTGGCTTGCTCCTTGTTCTTCTGGAAATGATAGATATGTACATCGCTAGATCTTTTAGCCTTCGTTTTTATTGCGCATGGTCATCAGCGAAAACTTACAACGCACCCCGGATTCCACTATCCAGAGGCTCCGTGAACTTCTCATAACTCTTGCTCTTAATTCCAGTCTCTGGGTTCAAAAGGCTTTTTCCATCAGGTGATACTTCCGTTCCAAGAGGGGCCAAGTTCTCATAGCCTTCAAGAGGTGAAGGATAGGTGTAGAGAGAGGGGTCAGCCATGATTACGAGCTTTTGGTAATGGTTCGAGGAAAGATTTTGATAGACTTTTGTTCTCTGAAGCCAATGTGTGAAAAGATGATTGAGTTGCTGCTAAATGTAGAAAATAAACTCCTTCAATATCAGATTGGACGATGATGCTATAATTAATACCTTTAGTGAGAGGCAGTGGTCCCACAAAAATGGTGCAAGTTTAGTGATCAATTATGATATGTCAGCCGGTAGAAAAGTTCGGTAATCCATCACCAATCATTAGACAGATTCATTCTTTGCTTCGGATCCCTCCCACCGTCTAAATCTGAGATTACTAATACCAACGTTTGCAAGTCAATTTGGCTTCTTAAAAGTATCAATTCTCCTCTGCTCACACACTCGGAGATGATTCAGCAAGGCATTTTCCGCTCTTCCGGAACGGGACCACGACTCCACATAACTATATTGATCAAGGGCTTGGACACAAAACGGCTGAGCCCGTGCTGGCTGGTCCCCGATTCGTCATTTGCATTGACGTGGGTCTTCAATAGTCCCAATTGTTGATTGAATTTGCACAGCAAAGTTAGGAATTCCTATACTTCAGTCATAACACATGATAATTAAGGTTTTCCATGTCTCTTTGCTCGACTTATGTTTCCATACGTCAGTGACTGAGTGCGAAGATGTGCCATACGATTTTTATTCATGATATCCTTGCAGCTTACCAGATTTTCTTGGTTCTTCGGTAATGTCAGATTTTAAGAACGACGTGCATGGAGGATTCATAGGCATCCCACTGTCAAATTTCAATATTTCTCTTTGGGGTAAAATGTGGTGATGAAACGCGGATGTCTGACACGATTCTGGAAGCCGTTTCCGTCATATCTGCCAATAGGAGCCATTTTCTCTCTCGAAACTTTCGATCACTCCGGAATATCATCAGCCTTACCAATCCCTATCCCTAGTTTTTGAAATTTCGGCCTTGGGCCCTTATATGTGATTATGGTTACCCGCTTGTGGCTGATTTATACCGATTAAGAGGCTTGCACAGCATCGGGCATATCACCGTACATTTATGTACAGAACATCTGATGTCAGCGTTCTGATTGGCAACTTTACGCAAAAAGTGGTTTCCAAATACCTTTCCAGAAATATTACCATCGGATATGGACGCCTTGGATTGGAAGGTAAACGAACTCTCAAACATCATCATAATATCGATCGTTATTACAATATCATCATGATTACCAGGCACATCGGATCAGGCTCATTATAACCTGCGGCTCAATTTTGGCAACTATGCTTCGGATCTAATAAGGGCAGGTATGAAGCATGATAGGGTGATTAAATTACCGGGGCGCCCCTTTTCCACGAATGATCGTTCGATGCCGTATAAAGGGCCAATTAGAGCGTTCTCGACTTCGATATCAGTGCATTTATCTGTTAATGCCAGGGTATAGGCGAGCGGGGAAGCTCGTTTCCAATATTGTCTATTTTATGAAATTCATAAATCAGTCGTGACAATTGGCATAAATCCCAGGATGATTCTTCGATGCTTCAATCAAAATATGCTATTTGATTCCAGACCCCATGACTGTTACACATGTGCCTACTTTGTAGCTGCCTTAGTAGCTTTCAAAGCCACAAAAGACGATTACTTATCCCACAGGGCTGATGATGAACTCTCCCTTCATACCATAGAAGCCTTGCAGATATGTGAGAACTACTTCACCCAGCCACAGAGAGCATTGCTCCGCCCGGATCGTGCATCTGTAGGGTGACGTTCGGCAGTCTGGAGCGCGGGGCTTGTTTGCATTTTCCACGTTGTGGTCTATGCTCTGCCTGGAATTCGGGTCTACTAACGATCATTACAGGGCTTCGGATCTTACTCTTCAGTGGTCAGTTCTGCAATAGATTATCGGTGGGTCCGACGAACTAGCGACCCTTCGGATACATCAGATTGGGACCCCAACTGTTCATCATGGACATCATTTCTTCCTTATATTCATTCTTGAATCTCGTCATGGAAGATAACGGTAATACTTCAAGAAACATCAACATTTATTCCATGTATATTCAGTCCTCAAACCCAATGTCATTTTCTCGCCTATATCCAATTAGACATCCCATCAAACACATTACTCCAGACTGGTTTTCGCGTTGTGATGGCGCTGTCTAGATCTCCGATTACACCGGCTTCGATGAAACGGGATTCTAAAGTCTCATTCATAGATACCAACGCCGACGACTTTGGGCGGCACTCGGCTTGGGATGATGGATCACGGCCGTCCAAAAGGGCTAGAGCGAGCAAACCTAAAGTCAAGTCAGGCTGCATTACTTGCAAGTGAGTACCTTCTGATTTACATTTCTACTCCTTGAGCATATATTCGCAGATATCTGACATTGATCTCTCAGGGCTCGTCGTGTTAAATGTGACGGTAAGTTGTTTCGCAATCCTAAATTCAATGGGCTTTTCACAATTTCCCTCAAGGTACCAGAATTGAGCAGCATCTTAATTCTTCCTTCTAAGCTACTAGAAATTTACATAATTTACGTCTAATCCTTCCGAATGATCAACAGAAACGAAACCACAATGTCTTCGATGTCAAAAATTCGGGCGAACATGCGATGGATACGCTCACGAGATTCGATCACGAGGAAACATGATGCCAATCCAACCTAGAATTCCAACGGCGGATATTTATACTCCAAGTGTTTCTCTTGCAGCAACAGAGCAGGAAGGCCGGTACTTCCAATATTTTTGTGATCGAACAGCGTATCAATTGCCTGGTTTCTTCGATCCCACCTTTTGGAATCACATTATTCTTCGGGAGAGTCACAATGTCACTCCAATTCGGCATGCAGTAATCGCTATTGCAGCTCTTAACAAAGCCATTGAAGAAGCACCTGGACCACATTTGAAAGTTAACGTCATTCAAGATATAAACAAAAAACATCTTGAATTTGCCGTCATACAACATCTCAAGGCCATTCAAGCTTTGAACCAGTACATATCTAGCTCTAATGGTCCTCAGTTGAGAACAGCGCTTATGGCGTGTTTACTTTTTGTTTGCTTTGAAACCATTCAAGGATGCTATGCTTCGTCGGTGCAGCAGACTTACGGAGGCCTGAAGCTATTAAGGAGTTATTATGCTGGAAAGCCTGGATCGAAACCGTGGATTCCGCGGCGGATCTCAGCAGGGTCCAAATCTAACCCCCAGACTGATAAGGTTATAGCCAAAGTTCACAGTCGGCCAGGTATGGATAGTTCCTCCAAATCAGCAACTATCTCATCACATATCGAAGAGTATCTGGAAACTGAAAAGCCGCCACTTCAATCTGCACATACCCCCACGATAGATAGAACACCTACACCACCACAAAGGGATTACAGTCCACGACTCGATGCCATGACCATTCCATCACATTACAGGTCAAGCTTAACATCGGAACAGCAACGTTCTTTATCAGGTACACCGGTTCAAGATTATCCGAGTGCGTACCATACCCCTAGTGAATATGTATCCCCAAGCGAACACCAAAAGCCCAATATTGCGATGCCAATTGCAATCACTGGCAGAAGACCGTCATCCAATCATTCTATTTCCAGTATCCGCACTCCAGAGTCACTTCATACTCCCCCTTCCATGGGTAATACACCACCGCCTACTATCTATAGATCTTCACAGTCCCCACCTGTGCTCACGAATCCTCGAAAGCGACCTCTCCAATCGAGAAGTCCTACTCCTCCCATTTTAAACAACGACTATACGCTGGAGGAGAATATCATACAAGCGTTCGTCCGTCTGGATGGACAAGGATGTAAGTATGCTTCCGTTTTCGCAATCCTCTCCCAGAATCCAGTTCAACCAAGATTGAACCAATCTGGACAATTCTTTTTCTTCGTAAATTTATACTTTGTCACATGCTGACTGTCTTCTTATTGTAGTATTCTTCGGTATGACACCGGGTATTCCCCCCCTACTTTGGGACATCCACTCTGCACATCACATTCCCATTCCAAAAGTATTCACAAGTTTTTCTGAGGCTCAGCACTGTTGGGACTTTTTAATGGACAGAACACTTCAATACTATCGAAGAACGCTTTTCGACAGGAAATTTGCTTCTGCGAAAAGTGATACTCCCAGCGAAATAGCACAGCAATATGCGGACTATGTCACAGGGCTAGATGACTTCGAGCAAGCCTTCCAACCTATATTACGATTGTCTATATCCCCTGAAGGAAAGGTGCCTAACCAGGCTGCTATTGTCCTTATAACACATCTCAAAGCCACAGCCATAACACTATCGGCTGTGACTTCTACCTCAGAAATGGTTTATGACTCTTTCCTGAATGAATTTCGATACATAGTTCGAGCTGCAGAAAAGCTCGTTACAGCATGTGAGGCAAATCCCTCGGCTATCAATTCATCACGATTTAGCCTCGATATCGGGATTGTTCCGCCATTGCATGTAGTAGCGACCAAGTGTAGGGAACCAAACATCAGAAGAAAAGCAATCGATCTGCTTTTCAGAAGTCCAAGACAGGAAGGAATGTGGGATGGTGTACTGAGCGCTAGGATTGGCCGGTGGATCATGAGCTGCGAAGAAGATGGATTGGATGTATCTGGGATACTCGAACATCCCAACAAACAGCCAGACTACGGCAACCAGAGCTTCCAAAATGGAGAATCGGTACAATTCTATGATGGCATTCTATCGCCAGGATATTGGAACAATGGCGAAACTATTAAGGATGGAGACTTGATCCAGGAAAACTTTGCACCCTATTTATCACACAGGCAGAGTCCAGTACCACGAATTCCTCCGCCATACACCCAAGCTCATACACCACCCATCAGAGAACACTTTCCAATGCCTCGACAAGAAAGGGTCTGGATGGTGCCAGAAGATAAGCGCTTCCAATTAGTAGTTGTGGATTTCCATATGCCAGATCGTTATATTATGGTCAAGTGTAAGAGATCCTTACAGAACAAAGATGGTACAAGAGAGGAAAGAGAATCTATAATTGCTTGGTGAATTATAATGATGATACTTTACTTGAAGTATCGTATATTGAGAGTTGTGGCTATGAAGCATTTGACGCATTGTCTTGGAGTTCTAGCGCTGCAAATGGCATGAAAGGATGGAGTTTGAGAATATGAAGATTCCATATGAGAATACTTCTCGACGTTCAAAACCGCAAAACTGTTTCTAGATATAATCAGACTACTGTAGCTTAAACTTGAAGTGATTTCTTGCCTGTTAAATTAAAGTGATTGAAAGTAAACCAAACAGCACCTCAGGAAGCTTAAGAGATACTTCTACAAAGATAGGTCTCAATTGCATGTCTTGTTTGGGTTCAAATCATGTGATCGGCATGACCTCGGCTTGGAGAAGCTCAGAAATGATTGCCTAGCGGGGTTGTAGATGCCTGAAGCGGAAGTTTAATCTCGAAGACGAGGCTTTTGATAAAAAGGTCAACAGCGGTCGAAAGTTGATTCCCACTTTGGAAGACACAAGCTGAAAGGACTTTCCCTCGCAACCACATCAAACGACGAATCTCTTCAAATTGTGATCGAGAGTGAATCGAAGAAATTCTATCATCAGAATACATAGCATTTACCCCCTATCAAACCAGTTCAACAACATACCGTGCGCAAAGACGGACCAGCGCAATACAACGAATACTCTCGAGTGGGATACCTGATTAAAGTACCAAGTAATCTGCAAATCTCGCACCCACAGCTCCACGTTGATACCTCCTACTGGATATTCTCTGCCAGTATACACGACTATTTTCTGGTTCAACATAGGAAGTGCGATACATTTAAGCGCGTCATTAAGAGTGCCTTTCCTACGAAGCATTCGAGCTTTGGTATATTGGAGCGATCATAAGCTTCACGCCACATCTTTCTGGACTCACTCAACTGGCAAGTCTGCTGCGTCAATCTTGATACTAGTTGCCACGGTTTTTCAACAAGCATTCAACATCAGTTTGGGTTTGGACTTTAAACCTAACTTACTCGAGGTTATTCAGCTACCCCCCACAAGATGTCTTCCTCCTCTGGTACTCCAGAATCCTGGATCTCTTCTTTCTGCGCATTATTGGGACATGAATACTTTGCAGAGATATCGGAGGAATTCATAGAAGATGACTTCAATTTGACAGGTTTACAAACACAAGTAGCTATGTATAAGGAAGCACTCGAGGTAATTCAATACATGACTCATGTATCTTGAGAACATGCTAACGTGAATCTATTGTTAGATGATCTTGGATGTCGAGCCAGAAGAAGATGAGGACGAAGATGACGAGGATGAGGATGAGGATGAGGATGCATCTATTGAGGGCGAAGATCGATCAGGACGTAAAGCTGCAGCCGAACGAAGACATCAACGAATGGCAAGCGATCTATCCATTATAGAATCTTCCGCAGAGATGCTCTATGGTCTTATCCATCAACGATTTATCTGTTCTCGAGCTGGTATACAACAAATGTCCGAGAAGTACGACCTTGCCCATTTTGGTGTCTGTCCACGAACACATTGCGAACAAGTCCGCACATTACCAGTAGGATTATCTGATGTACCAGGTGAAGATACCGTCAAATTATTCTGTCCCTCCTGTCTCGATGTATACGTTCCTCCAAATTCCCGATTTCAAACGGTCGACGGTGCCTACTTCGGACGAACTTTTGGGGCGCTCTTTCTCCTCACATTCCCCGATTACGATATTAGCAAGAAGGGATTAGAAGCATTGAGTGGGCATGGAGGCAGAAGTTTACAACATTCCAACGATGAAGAAAAGGAAAAGATCAACGGCATGAATGCATCAAACCTTGCACCTGGTCTCGGCAAAGGTAAAGTCTACGAACCTAAAATTTACGGATTCAAGGTTTCGGAGAGAGCGCGAAGCGGTCCTCGAATGGGCTGGTTGAGGAAACGACCAGATGAGGTTAGAGAGTTGGATGAAGCGACCGCATATGCGCTGGAGCATGCCGATGATAGTGATGAAGGAATTGATGTTGCACCTGGTGGCGCCAGTGCGAGTGCTCGACTCAAGCCACGGAGGAGGAACCCAAGAGCAGTGGCAAACAACGGAGGTAGCCCTATGAGCGTAGAAGCCAACGGAGAGATTTTTTCGTAGCATAATCTTGAATGAAAAGACTGAGGGGTGGTCGGAGGGGCGTTTAGGTGCTTTTTATCGTCGCGGCGATGGATGGATGATACAGTAGATGGTTTGGCTTTTATGGTTATCACACGGCTTGTGTTTGCAGATCAACTCACATACATATATTGTCGGATTCTAGCGCACGCGGTTGCTTGCTTAATTGTTTATTACATGTGTGATCAGCGAGCGCGAGAAGAATGCATCTACTTTTGCATATGGGTGGTTTACTCTGATCCGGTGGAACGGGTGATTGTGAGTCATATTTTGGGTGGTGGCTACAGGAGAGTAAGATGTTTGGGTGTTGGGGGGGGGATTGAAGTGGAGGTAAAAGATACAAGCATTGCAAGGAATGAGAGAGTATATCTGCTATAGGAATGAAATGGGATGGTTGTACCTATCTTAAGAAGCTAAAGATGAGATCAGATAAATAGCTGATAGTCATGATAATTTTATCTCGTGCTTGGGATGTCGTGTTTCCTTGCAACTCTTTCCTCGCTTATGACTCGTCACTTTGCTCACTTGGAAGTTGATGAATTATGAGTACAAACCGGATGATGTGTAGTTCATCACTCGTGATATTGCTCATTGTGATTGTATTGAAAGAGTTTAAGTAGGCACAGATTTTGTAGACAGTAATGTCGTGAAGAGTGAGGGACAGGAGAGAAGCATGGTGGTACGGATTCTTGGACTAGAAGTGAACCGTCGCTAAAACCATCTTTGGCGATTAACGGAACACAGATGTGAGTTTGAATATTTCCTGAAGGGGTGTGATACAAGCATGGGTAGAAGCTCATTAGAACGGAGGGAATTTGTATCTTGTATTCTGTTACACCCATTTGTTTGTGCAATAGACTGAGGGAAGGGATTATGGAAGGTATAAATGGAGTAGTATTTTCTCACTCCTTGATTCCTTTCGTGAAAAGTTGTGTTTTGGTTTTCAAGATACCTGTAGAGATCATAATGGACGATGAGAAGAAGCCAAATGCTTCAACAAATGTATGATATGAATGCTGTGGTGACAGGAGATCCTGTGCGTCCAAAATCGGCTGATGAGAAAGAGCTGCAAGAATTCGTATGATATTTTGAATTTCTTGAGGATCAAAAGAGGAAAACTTAACAGGTAGGAGGAGATGAGTCTCCCTATCTCTGCTCTCAATACCTACAATTATATCATCCCGATTTCGAATGGCCGAATAATTATCCAGCATACACTTTGGTAATTCACTAATGTAGAGTAGAGTGTGAAGATTTTCCCGCCTGGAGCTCTACCCATTAAGAGTGCTTACCAATTGAATGGTTCGTTAAGGCTTGTAGTGATGTCTACTGTGGTACTTCTTGCTGGATCCGGGCTGTTTGTATGCATACATTTGTTCATGCAGTATCTTATCCTGGGATATCAGGACGGGAGGAGGCTCACTTCTTTTGCCATCTAGAAATTGGATGGTTTACGTTTCAAGATAGTGTTTTCGGATAGCTAGTTCTCCTTTGGTCACATTTTCCGTATCACATATCACAAATCCTTAAATTTTCAGACTCGCTTATGAGTCTCTGTCCCTACAATTAAGAAGGTCCTTGGACCTCTTTGTTGATTGCAAACTGCCAGCTGTATCATCCCTTCTTTCAATACATGGGTTACCTTCCTATGGCCGTGTGAAATCTGACCCAGAGGTTTAGCTTTGGCGATACGAGTCAGTAAATGAGGTGCAATCGAAGGGCTACACGGCTGAAGCTATGCCTCATGCATTGAACCAAAATAGGTCATAGACACCTGAATCCTTTTTCACAGACTACAAACACGCAAGCGTCATTCGTCACAAATCGAACGGAAGGCAACCCTTAAACTACATGATGAGGGATGTGAGAAAGCCAACTCACGGGCAGTCGCTTCGGGATATGCAGCAAAAGCTACTGGCCAAGGAATAACATTTCTCATTGTGGTACCGGTATTCAAAACTTACGAAACTCAGACATGATTTCCTACCATCCTCCATCGTTCTCCATATGATGATCTTGATGATCAGTAAGTTAGCTTCTCGTAAGTTTTTGATCTGAAGTAAGATGGCAGCACTCTGAAGATTACATCAAGTTACCTATCTTTTCCCAAATAGGAGGTGGCTTTAGTTTTGACCATTGGCTGCAACCTTCCGCGTTCAGGCCTGTTTGCTAGACTTGGTGTTACACAACGCTCGTCGTTTGCTGTGACGGAGACGAGAAAATGAGCTGTTGCACCAGAGAATTAATTCTTTGTAGATAGGAGGATCGGCTACCACCTTAGTTTCTATGCCCTAGAGTAATCTTCTTGAACTCATTATAAGCCTGCAACTCTCTCTCTCTCGTGCTTTTCCATTTGGTTTGTTATTAAACTTCTCTGAATGATTTTGGAAAGTTTGGAATATCAAAAGCCCCACCACCTTAGCCATAAATCTCTTTCTTCCACAATATCTCACACATCGACCTCTTCGACTTGAGAGTGACTGCGCAATAGCTTGACGTGCGTTTCTCGAACACGCCTCTCATTATGGGATATTTATGCCAAGGTGTATTGCCGCTATTAAGAACACACTGCGCAGACCATATTGGAGGAAAAGCTGGAGTCTGTCATCCCGCTAGAGTATCTCATCAATCTACAATGAGTCGATTTTACATGTCCTTTCTGAAGCTGCCTGTATCATGCTTGGAAGAGTACAGTCTCAGGTCTCGACAAAGCCACCGGAGTTCATATGTACCCATGGCTTTAGCGCCGCTCCGCATCGTTGAAGATCCTGCATCCTTTCGAGTTTCTTCATCAGCAGTTTCAAAAGTATGTATGCAACCAAGTGTTAGCAACATTTCCTTATATCTAACATAGGATAGGCCACCTTCCTAGCACTCTGATACTTTCTCTACAGCATTCAACGAGCAGGTTGTATTTATATTATGTTGTAGGCAAAGAATACACCGGTCTTGATAGCAGGATTATATCAACTCGTTTAAGTGGTCTCGAAAAACTTGATGCTTCGATACTGAAGGCATTGCAAAAAGGTCCCAATATCAAAGAAAAGCCCCTCGCGCTCCAGATAAAGAGATACCGCTCACTGTATCCACTACATTAACTGACATGTAACTCGATCTCCGGTACTGAGAATTCCATCAAGGCGAAGTTACTTCTACAAGAAGCTCTTGAAGGTTTACCACGAGGAGATTGGGGACGCCGCCACTATGCCACTTCCAGATGAGGATGACAAGAACTGCGCGACGAAGCAACGCTACACAGGCCTGGACAATACGAGTCAAAACAATCATATACAGGATGGAGAGGTCATTACTCAGCATCGAATGGAAGGAAGAGAGGGATACACAAAGACAACACTTCAGGCGAATATCAGGGTGAGAGTAAGAATGAGGACACGATGATTGATATTCATTTGTACATATAGCATCGTGTTCTTGGTGTTGTATGGCTGTTTATAAGAGAAGCTTGGGTATATACACTCAAAGATTCCTCTCGCAGGATATAAAACATAATGACTTTCCTCATCGGTTGCTCGTAATATGTACATTTATGAGATTTATTTAACATCGGTCTAATAGCCATAGGCTACAAGATCAAAGGGAGTCAACTAACGCATCATCGTATAATATCAGCGGGAGGAATCGGGGACTCATGGAGGGCGAGACTGTCGTTTACACCCGAAAGGAAGCACGTGGAATGAAAATATCATTCGTTATTACATAATGACTTTCGTGCCACAGTGCACAGCCACCGCCACACCTGGCACATAAGAAGTCCACGGGTCCAGTGCTCTTCATGGAGCATTCGAGCTCGTTTTACTATCATACAGCCACTACATTTATTCTTTAATAATACAAGAGATCATTATCAGGCAGAAAGTACAGAAAAAACACTCTCAATTATTCACAAATCCTCACACAATATGCCATCCTTCACTGAAACCCCCTCAACCACAGCCAATGCGGCCCCAAACACCACTACGGTCGACACCTCAAATCAATCTACCGAGACAGTACAGAAGACCGAGGCTCAACTAGAGGCGGACAGACTGTACGAGGAAAGAATTGAGGAGGAGTATGCTAAGAGAGAAGGCGGTGCTTAGGATGAGCAGGAAGACGTCAACATGGAGAGACTTCTCTGCCACGTTTCTTCGGTGGCAAATCAGGAATGAAGTGGCATCGGGGAACTATCGAGAGGCAAGCAACGATATTGGAGGATCAAGATATCTAGAGGATCTTGCAAACATATAGCATGAATGATATCACCCCTCTCTCTTTTATGCATCTCCGTCATCTCACAAGTGAAATCCGAATAATTGCACGCCCTCATGACCTCCAGCCTTTCGGAGTTACGGAGTGACACCCCTAGCATCTATCTCGGGACCGTATTCTTAGTCTTGCTATCGCGTTGCAGCGGTAAGGCTCGTCCCTTTCTTATTTACGGCATAGAAAGCTTGAGGTTGTATGTGTGAATATTTTCAACCAATCCAGTCACCGATATTGTAATCAAGCCGTTGAAACGGCCAATGAAACCACGGACATTAGCAACCAAGAAGGGGTTTTGAAGAAGCTAGCTGCTAGACATCTGAAAACCCTGAAGTTTGTACATCGTAGTTTGATTCGAAGCTCCGGGTTGATCAGAGCGTTAGTGTTATGGGTGGACAATGGTGGTCTTGAAGTGGTGTAGTATCTTGGACCATGAACCATGGGGTCAAGGAACCAGAGCAGAAGAAGGTTGGATAGAAATGGTTAATTGAATACTACCTAGGTAGGTATGGAAAAGGTTTAATTCAGCATAAAAGCAAGAAAGCAACATCAAATTCAATTCCAATTCCCAGTGACCCCAAAGAGATATAGGAGATTTCACAATCTCCAATTAGAAGCCTTCCATACCTCCTTGTCTACATTTTCAATCCATGAGAACATGTACACGAGTACCTACACAAATTGACGGTACAATATTGGTATCGCTATCGCCGAATTCCCCGCTTTTGGAAGGATTGTATACTCTTATCTCCTTTGGGATAAGCGCAATCAGACGGAAATACTCCATGCACAAAGAAAATGCCAGCTGGAGGTAGGAAGAAACAAAAAACTAACCAACATTTACATTTTAGCCCCACGAGCCCAGCAATTATCCAACCGACCAATCGTTATTGAGATATTACCCACGTTGGACGAATCAGAATCAAGGTAATTAATGGTCAGCAAGATCCTCAAAGATCCAAACAAGCTTAGAAACCTTTGAATGAAGCCCGTGGTCAAACTATCAAACCAACGGAGATAATCCTTGAATATAAATGGAAATGTTGTCCCTAAATACCTAGTAGTTTCTAAAGAGGTAGGGAATGACATCTGGAATATAACTACCACCATACCATCTATCCAACACATATAAAAGATCCAAGAAGTACTCCCATTTCACTTCTAATTCATGAGCCAAAACGTAACCAGAAAATCAGTCAAATCATACATACGTCGATCAACCAAGGGTATAAACCCATCAAACAGTGGAAGATCAAGAATCAGAACAGCCTCAATTCGACTCCATTTTGATATCAAAACCATCAACCTCGTTTTCCTTAAAAGTACAATTGCAGGAGATAGTAATCACTACATATCTTCGTTGAATGACATCACAAGTCAAGTACAACGTCTCCTAAGAAGAAACCCAACATAACTTGAAGCCACATACCATCACCAACCGAAATCATGGTTTTAGCTGCCCTTAAAAATGTCTTTTTCTATCAATCCGTCACTCCCAAATCGCCCAAACCAAACCGAGACCGAGGAGTACCAAAAATCGATTTCGTTACATCTAGACAACCTCTCTTACCAAATAGCGACACAAACCACAGCTCCGGGTCGGTCGACGGGACTCACGATGATGATGAAAGTACTTTAGATTTAGAATCTCAAGATTCCAGATCAGAGAAGTCCTCAAAGAAGAGGGGATGGAGAATCGATGCGAGAGTGATTTCGGATGCCACCATTGGTTTAAGTGATGGGTTGACAGTACCGTTTGCATTGACGGCTGGATTATCGGCTTTTAACGATTCGAAAATTGTTATAGGGGGAGGAATGGCCGAGTTGATTGCAGGGGCTATTTCTATGGGCTTGGGTGGATATCTTGCTGCTAAGAGTGAACTGTGAGTTTACCCCACAATTGCATCCAGTGAAGGAATGAAGTTGTCATCATCAATGAGTCTGCCTCCACGCAGTGGCTCCCAGAGGGCCAACGGAGTGTCATCAAATTTGAGATCAGACTGGCTAATAATTACATTAGTGCATCATATCATGCTACACGAGAAAAGACCCTTGAACGAATAGAAACCGATCTTCAAGGCGTCTTAAACGATCTGATGGAAGAATACGAACCATACGACTTTCCCAAAGAAGTTATCAACGGTCAATCAACCCATCTTGCTCAAATGCACCCAGAGCTTCTGACAGACTACGTAATGCAATTCCAACATTGTGAAGAAGAGCCCGCTACATCCCGCGCCTTTACATCTGCTCTTACAATCTCGATGGGATATTTTCTCGGTGGTTTGTTACCTCTACTGCCTTACCTTTTCGTATCCACGGTTGCCGAGGGATTATATATCTCTGTCGGGGTTATGGTGATCACACTATTCATCTTTGGATATGTCAAGACGGGCATGATAACAGGTTTCCAATCGAAATGTATTGGAGGCAATTGCTGGGGTGCTGCTGAAATGGTTCTCATTGGGGGTGTAGCGGCGGCAGCGGCGATGGGATTAGTGACATTATTTCAACCTGGAGTGTAGATACTAGAAGGGGTTTGTCGGTCAAAATCATGGATAGGCGAATGGGATATGGTTGAACGAATTTATGAATTGATGGTGGCGTTCAATGGGTATGGATTGGCTAATTTATTATGGGAGGAAAAATAGGGTTGAACGGCGGCGTTCAAGGAAAATACACTCTCGAGAATATCGATCGAGTGGTTTTATTCCTCTTGTATCTGTTCATAAAATAGGATAGCTGTTCAATAGCATTGGGGTTGGGCAAGGGAACATTCAATCAGACAATCTTGAAAAATCTATATCATTTCCATGTGAGATTTGCCTCCGAGAAATTCCTGTCATCAGCGTGAATAAGGACTTTTGATCCTTTTCGCTTCGCTTAACATGCACATACAATATCCATTCCGCCAAGAACGGGACATCCAATTTGTACGAGTGTATGATTGTTCTCGAAAATCGAGAGAACAGCTCAAACCCAACTTTCCTTTCACTATCATTTAATGAGAGTCATCGCCTCTCGCCCACAAATCATTATTTCCCATTCTCATCCCATCTGAAAATTCCGTGAACTAAAAACCTCTCATTTCCCACCCTTTGCCACACACCTCTCTTTCTCAGTCCTGTTGTCCATGAAATATGCAGATATATCAATTGGTATTACATTTTCCGAGTTGATGGGGGTATAGTCACAGGAAGTTGAGAGATGCGAAGCCCAGAACGAAACGAAATCGTAAAGAGGCGTGGGAGGAGAGAAGACGCTACTCTGACCTAGCCTGGGGAACTGGATAACTTTCTTTCTGTTTGAGCTGGCGGAAGAAGTAATTTTCATGCGCCCGCTACAGAGAGGTACTTGAAAGGTCACGAAGTCAGATGGTAGGGTAATAGAGAAAGGGATTTTCGTCTTTCCGTTTGAGGAGAGAGAAGAGTGAAGATGTAACGACCGCGCTGGTGTATTTCTTATTCATCAATCTACAGAGGGAAGATATTCAAAGCGATTATTTTGTCGATAGTGAAGACATAGACGTTGATAGTGGGATCGTCACTTAACGATAATATCTCTCTACCTCACTACTGGTGTTCTTGACTTTGAAAGTATAGTTTTTCACCAAGTCTGTGGGATCGTGAGAGGGGGTTCTGTTTGCTCAGGGTAAGATTTGCAAAGTTCACAGGATACTCATTTACTAATCCGGCTGTAGAATAGATCGAAACCATCTCTTCATTTTCCTCCTGCAATTCCATCACATATAAGCATTGAGGATAAGCCCATAGATCTTTGAAAACTCGCCACCTTTTTAGTCAACTAAAGATAATAAGGGTCCGGTGTCGCACTGCCATTACTATAATCCAATGAAGTGTCAATCGATGATGATAACGAACGCAAACTTGTCGCAGAAACCAGAATATTCCTGAAAAAACATGATATACCGTATACCTGCATCAATTGCATGCTCAGATTCAGTATTAAAAGTACATGCACCTCGCTGAGCAGGTGCAAATTTACCGATCAAGATTGTTTTTATGGCAGAGCATCCACAATCAAGAATCAAATCATCACTGCGTTATGATTAGCCCAGATCGGGAGTCATTCTCAATGCTGTAGAATCATTTGTGTAGTACTCGAAACAAATAAGTCTCTTCGAATACACTCAAAGCTGTTGCATCTTTTTCAGCTAAAGCCTAACTGGCAGAGAATAGACTATTTGAACACTCATCGATCATACAGAGACAACAGTACTCAGGGTTAGCATTCCTATGGGGTGAGATAGGTGATGCATTTAGATGGCATTAGAGATCGAAGTATAGTTTTCAGATATCTGGAAATTTTAGAGAATGACTGCTTCACTGCAATTGATAGATACAAGTGCAGCTACGTCATACACTTGAACTGGGCCTACTAGTTTCCATGGCAACATGGCATAGCGATCACCATCCCATGGTCTCATATTAGTTAACATTGTTGCTCGAATATACATGCAAGGCAGATTTTCACATCAGTTGAACAGATTATTACCGACTATTCCTCCGTCCCATTATGATCTCAGTCATCCTGACACACAAATCAGATTCAACCACCCCAGAAGAAGTCAATCGATCACAAGTATGACAACGCACTAAGCTCCCATCATGAAAATGGCTCGATTGTCCCCATTAGTACCGGTTTTGCAAACCGCGGTAGCCTCATCACCGATTTTTGCTTTCTCGCCAGGAATGACTTGACCATCGCTGGCCACAGACCAGCAGCCAGCTCCCCTACCACCGATTGGAGCATATCCCACACCACGCTCCATTTTGAATGCCTCATGATGATCCCTAAAAACGCCCTTTATTCCGCACCAAATCCGCTTTCTTAACCCTTGTTTGACTCCTAAAGACAACGCAGAGCGATCTTAGTAAATATTCCCGGGATAACAAACAAAGCAACGTGAAAGCAGTGCTAAAACCGACTAATATCATTCAACCAATCTCCCAAGCCTCGCTGCGTTTTCACTATCCATCAAACTCTCCAAGCCCATGGCAATCTCCTTGACCTTCACTTCCAGGTTAAGCTTCTCGTTTATCTCATTAATTTCACCAGAAATTCTCTCAAGCTTACCATCAGTCGTTGGGCCTGCGTAAGTAGTGTGACTCAATGCATTCGCCTGGATCATCCAAGCCTTGTGTCCCAATTCAATCAATGTTGGTCCGAATTCAGTTAGTAGTTCTTGAACTATTTCATTTGTTGGCTCCTCCTTGGCTAAACCCGTGTTATCTGGACCTCCAAATGTGGCATAAAACTGTGGATAACCTGTCAGTCGTGTTGATATAATAAGGTTCCACAAAGGCTCATCTCGCGAATTTATGGGCAGGATGCCGTAGTATGATAGCCAAAAAGTTGGTGGACTCACCCAGTCTTCCTTCCATTCCTGAATAGCCTTGATTGTCTCTGGATGAATGATTTTAATATCTTTCGCGATCATGTAGAAACTACTTCTTGTAGCATGCTTCTTAACAGGCTTGAAGACTTCAACCTTAGCAAACTTTGAAAATGTATACAACATGAATGCTGAGTGCCATGTATCAATCTTATGTAATAACACAACCAAAGTGCCTCCATTGTGCATCCTATTCATGGCAAGAATCAGTTGCGAAGTTTGCAATCGCACTGTTTCCTTACTAAGGTTGGCATTGTAAGTGTCTTTAATGCGATCATGCGTACGAAGAGTCTTGCCGTCGGCAAATACAAGATGATATTTGATAAACGTGAAAGGCTTGATATCACTAAATTTCGACTTGAAATCTTCGGGGATGTCTTTACCGTTTGGACAAAACTCCTTGAACATTGTAATATCATGGTATCTAAAACCCTGGAGGCGGTTCGTGTCGATTATAACATTGTGCCCACCACATCTAGGGTCTAATGTGATGGCATATGCTTTGAAGCTATTGCGGTAATCGAGAGCTGCTGCAGTATAACCTCCAGGTGCCATGCAGAGATCGAGTATGTTGACCTGACCATCTGGGACGAAAGGTATACTGAAGATACTGTGAGCATTGTGCATTTCCTCTCCGATTTGTTGCATCATTTTATAAAAGCCACGTTCACCCTCTGGTGTGGTTGAGTCGGCACGCTCTCGTTGTTGTTTGAAGTGCGCGTCGCCGTCTTCTTTATTGTCATGCCATCCCTATACGCGCTAATTAGTGGCCACACATGAACTTGAATCAACAAGGTGAAGAAGGATAGCAGAAAGTCGATTGCCTTTAACTTAGCGCGTGTTTGTACTTAACACGGCACAAGATAGAACTGAAGCAGTGAACTTAAAAGAGTCAACGAAAAATATCCTACCCTGCTTCGGAGCTCCACAACTCTCTTGCACTCCTCATCTGACAGAATCAAATAGACCTTCAGCAGCTGTGACGCCTTTGTGGGTCGTTCTCCATTGGGACCATCACGAATGGCCAAATTATTTGATGCGTCTTCCAGGGTGAGACCGAACAGTTCTTTTGCGAGATCCTCGACGTTCAGATTTTTACCATTGTACTTCAGAGCAGCTAGTTTGTTCTTGAAGCTATCAAGCTCACCAGAAAGGAGAAAGCCATTGTTGGTTGAAGAATCCATGATTAAAGGAAATTGTTGATAGATATCAACAATTGATTGACTTGTCGCCGGCGAGACAAATATTTGAGAGGACGTTAATGTTTGGAAAAGAAAGAACGGAGGGTGAAAATGGAAATTTGGATCATACAAGAGAATGAGTTGAACCTCAAGGTGCGCTTGTTTCAATGGCAAAGATTTGTTCTATTATATTGTCTTTCAATGACCAGATAAACGAAAAGAAAGTGAAGGTTCGAGGGGGAAGGACCCTCTTGGAAGATGAATAGCTTTATCCAGATCCCGTCTTCTTTTTTTGGGGGGGGGATCAGATCAGTAGTATAGGTCGTGTGTATTATGAAGTTGAATTGGTGAGAACATGTGGGAAGAGATGTTGAGATGGTTTAAAGAGAGAGCAAGACCACTCGAGATTGTTGGAGATTGTTGAGAAGGTAGTGAGTATCCAATGTGATGGTCTTGTTAATACATGAACTTAACTGGTGTAATAAGGGATGGCTTGTAAAAGCTGATTATTCTTGTGAGGTTCTTGACAGGGGGAGATGAATAGTTAATGTATTCCACTGAGATCAAACAAAGTTCGTAAAAAATTTCCCTTCAAGACTTGACAAACATGGAAGGCGCATTAACAACTAGGTAACCAACTCACCAGCCTCAGTGCACCATTGCTGTTGCCATTTCGAGCGTTCAACATATCATATCATATCATATCACAGGAATATACAAACCTGACATTATTAAATCCCTAGTTCATCAACATCACACGACATGACATAGCATATATCAAAACTGCACTCAATGTAAGATAGAGCTGCTGTCAAATTTTCTATGGTACAAAGTAGCAGCGAATTTTGTGTTTTCTATCTTATGTAACAAACAATGGGTTGGTTACCTCACTCCCATCATTCAAAAGAAGAGGATGCAACATGTAATTTGTATTTGCCAAATGCACATGCCAAAAGTGTCAAAGCCATTTTCTGTAACCATTGAACGCGTGCATGAAACCCAAATTTTTCTCGTAAAAAGCAATACGCCCGACTGACAACGTGTCCGTCGAAGACTTTTGGTGGTGGTGAAACTAAAAAGTATGCCGTGGCTATGCCAGAATATGAACATGTAAAAAGCAAAACATGAATGAAGGAGAAAGCCATATCATTCGTCAAACCCACCCAATACTCTGCCGAGAAAAAAAAAGGAAGGTTGAAGCTTCGTAGCTCAAATTGTAGTCGGTACCCAGAGATCTCCAATTCTCTGATAGCTCCTATTAAACGCCGTAGAAACCACATGTCAAAACTCGTAAATACAGTCAACGTAAGTTGTTCAGATCATAATATCTGTATCGCTACATGTCATACGAGCGAAAGCCAACGTTGCAGAATTGGAGCGATGAACAGTCGTGCCACATTGAAGCGATTCAGAAGATATGGGCTATTTGGTAAAAGTGATATAGGTAGTACATAGATGTTAAACCACGTACGTAACTTCAAGGTCGGTGGCCAATCACGACTCCAAGCTACGAGGGTATCGAGACAGAAATCGAGAACATTAGGAAGGGAATCTATTGCTCAAGTAGTTCCTTCAACTTAGCATCCAGTAGATTGTCGATCCTCTTTCGGCTCTTCAAATCGAGAGCACCGTTGCGTAAAGAAGTTCGAAGTTTCGCAAATGCGGATCGCTGGATTGGAGAATCGTCGCCCTTGACAACATCAACATAATGTCCGGCTAAGACCTCGTTGATAGTTTTCTTCTTGTTGTTAAGGGTTTCATCGTAGTAAAGAATCAATTGCTCCATTCCGGTAGAGGCGTTGTTATGGCTATCCTCAAGTGCCAATTTGCGAAACTCGTAATACATGCCTGGATTGAAATTTCTGCACAAAAAGTGGGCCCAGAACTTGTAAAGAAGCTCCATGTCACTATGAGTCTCACCAGGCTGACTGGCTTCTCGGAGTCTGGTTGCTCTCTCACGGAAGATAGCATATTTTTCAATGGTGTTGGATTCGGAGATGGCTGCTTGTCGTCTTTGATCCTTGACCCACATGACTGTTGGGGCATTGCTGTAGTTTGAATGGGGAGACATTGCCCTCAAGTTGCCTTCTAAAGAGCTAAAATGAAACGAGTCAGAATGGCAAATCAACGTGGAAATCAGGGTGGCTTATAATTATTTACCTTTCTTGGGGATTTGACCCATTGACCAAGGGTCGACCTTGGCGTTCTTCGGACAACTCCTCATTAATAGACCTACCATCAATTGAACCATTGGAGAAAGTTCTTGAAGATGAGTTGTGGTATGGGTGCCTAGCGGGTTTTTGATCGCTCGTCTCACGGGAAGATTGTGCAAACACTAGATTTAGATCCTCGATTTGTTCATCGGTGAATGTGGTTTCTGGTGCTAAAGGATCGGGCGAAGGGACGGTGTTTCCGTTTAATGGTAACAGGCCAGGAGTAAAGTTAGGAACGGCAGCTGAAAGTGGTGTCTCTTCGTGATAGTGGTTATTGTTACCATTAGCCAAAGGCGCTTGGGTGGTTCCGTTGCCATATCTCATATAATCGTTTCCACCGGGGCTGAAGGCTGGTGAGCCTATCTCTTGACCTGGCATCATCATTTGGCCCATGTGGCTTGGTGGTCCATGGTTCTCGCGAATAAGTGTAGTTGGCCCATCATTGTGCTTCATTGACTCTTCTCTTTCCTCAGATGGCATGACCCACTGATCCCAACCATCGCGTCTTCTAATTCTATCCACACCATCCTCGCCCTTGACTATTTCTATCTCGGTAGACTGTTGACAAGCGTATCTCAACATGTCAATATCTGATGTAAGAGACTGGATTCTCTTGAACCCGGCCACAAAGTGCAGGAACACAAATCCTTGAGAGTCCATGTGTTTCCGTAAGAAGACGTCTTTGCAAAGATTGTCTATCGAGAAATAATATTCCAATTGCATCTTCACCATTGACAAAACAGTAGCAGACTGGCCGTCAAAAGGACCGTATGGCATAGCGCTCATGGTCTGCATTGGTACATAGTCGTACATGGTTTGAAGAGCTGGCATCTGTTGATTACCATTTGTGTAGCCACCTCTTGGATACATGGCAACATTTGGAATAGATTGTGATCTCGAGCTACCGCGGCCACGGGAAGAAGCTTGTGCGTATTGGTGGCTGAAGGGTCCTTGAGGTGGGGGGCTGTATGGTGTTGAGTTTTGACGCCCTTGGTAAGGAGGAATCGCATTATGGCCACTGGCAAAAGCATGGCCATTTGCAAAAGTACTGTGAGAGCCTCTGCCACGATAACCTCCACGGCCTCTTTCTGCTCGACCCTCAGCTCTCTGATCCTTGCTTCCATTTTTGAAGTCAGAGCTTCCGGAGCCATCGTTTCTGCGGTCGCCAAAGCCAGATCTTGCTGAGAATTGTCCTTCGCCAACACCTTGTCCTTTTTGACTAGTTTGATTACCCTTATCGGTTTGCGGGGAACTTGAAGTTCGCCCAGTGTCAGTTGGTGATACAGGTTCATTCTTGTTGGCACCACCCTTTGATTTCTCGGCATTTGGTGTATGCTTGCGTGCATCACGACTGACTTCATCTTCATTTGAAAGTCTCTTAGAAGAGTTTGGTGGAAGTGATGATGATCTGAGCCCACGTTTTTCGGGTTCTTCGCCAGACTCGGCAGGCTTAGTGGCACTTCCTGGCAACTTCTCTGCAGCAGTACCATTTGGTACATGACTGGTACGTCCGCCCTCACGACCTACACGAGCACCACCTCGTCCTCGACCACCTCGAACAGGTAGCGGGGTATTGAATGTGACCGATGGAGTGTATGGTACTGGGACCCACTTCTCCTTCGTCCTTGGTTTGTTGGAGGAGTTTTCATCCTTCTTTACTTTGTCTTCCTCTTGAAGCTTTCGCTTCTCCTCTTCCAGTGCAGTTTCCGGTGTTGGCCATGCCAAAGAGTCATCGACTGGAGGGGGCAATGAACTGCCAGCACTCCTATCTTTATCTTCAGAGCTCCTACTGCCTCTTGCAGGTCGTTTGGTTGAATCCTCCTTTCCCTTAGTCAGACTATCTGTGCCTTTCTTTTGGCCTTGTTTTGAGATAATATCCTTGCCAGTCTGCGATGCCTTCTCATCTTCAACAGAAGCCTTTCCCTTTCGCCTAGATTCGATGCCTTTTGGAGTTGGAGTGGAACTTGAGGTTTCACCTAAGAAATTTGCTGTTTGAGGTATTGATGGGCTCGACTTTGTCTTTGCGGCTTGTGCCTCTTTGCGCTGCTCCCAAAAGTTGACAGCCGGGGGCGGAGCTGGCACCAGAGGAACCTCTGGCACCTTCACTTCTTCCTTTTCTTTCTCTTTCTCTTTCTCCTTTTCTGCCTCCTTGTCGTCCTTCTTTTGCTTCTTGGACTTTTTAGACTTTCTGCCCTCGATCGCCTCCGGAGAAGGCTTTTCTTCTCTATTTCGCCCAGCTTTCTCCCATCCTTGCTCAGAATCATCCGCAGCTGCATTCAAAGCGAGCTCCTCCTCCTTTGGTATTGTTGCACTCGAAGTAGCAACCACACTTGGCGATTCTGGAGTGGAACCTGCGCTTACTTGTGATGTTGGGTTCGCATCTGTGTTTAATCCAACTCCTAGCGGATCGCTCTTACTTGGAACTTCGGTAGAACCATTGGTATTTCGATCTCCATTTTCAGACGCTGCTGCTCCATTCACCGACGCTGAAGGTGTATTTGATACGGAATTCGATTCCTTGGCGGGTGTGCTGACACCAGAAGCTGATGCCTGGCTTGATTGCATAGCGGAATTTGCAGTTGAAATTACGCGACCTTTTGCGGCCATCGCATATGAAAATGTAGGCGGGGTAGGGGTGCCCTCGGATTTCGATGTTGCCGATGACATTATGAATCGTATCACACAAAGTATGACTCTTTCGTTCAATCAAGCAAGTCCAATTCTTGCGAATAGTACCTGTGATTCGTGAAGTAGATACAGAGAGGTGACTAAAATTTCACCCTCAGTATGGACGTCCGGAGAGGTTGACTCGACCTCTCCGCACTTCTATCCCGATGCGCTGATCAGATATCACGTCTCAAGAAATATCGAAGCGACTCAGTACAGACCGCGAAAACGGGGATTGGGAAGATGGCTGCTGAAACTTTGTTTGCGGTGGATATGAGGGGTATCTGCTTGAATGTGAAGACTTATTTCGTCGCGCAAGTTTCGCAAAATATCGAAGTCCAAGAAATTACTTGAAGATGTAAGAAGGAAATCAAGGACTGATGTTTTGACAAGTTTCGACGTTTTATGAACTGCGGGCAGTAACTCGTGGAACGAAACGGAAAAGTGGTTTGATGGCACAGGTGGTGCTGGCGGCAACGCGAAAGTAAGCTCGAACAACTGAATGGAAACTATGATCTACTATAGAATGTTAGCTGTGTGATTCCCACATGATATGACCAATTTTCGTGAATCAATGTGACATGGGACGCAGCTTCTCCGAGTAATCTGGTCCGCAATGGCGCAGATGTAAAGCCGCACAAAAGTAAATGAGATAAATAGGACATCGAAATTCCCCCACGCACCTTTCGAAGAGAATAGAAATAGCAGAAGATCAATCCTGTAAGATGAGTCTTTTCCTATTCAAATCCAGAGAAAATGAGCCAGCAGTGATGTAAATTCCCAGAGTTTGACAATCAATGTATTACAGTCAGTTACTGTCTTCTTTGCCTATGAAGTCTTATTCTGAGGTTGTCGTTCTAAACTCAGAGTAAAGAATTTTCTCTTTGGAATAGAAAAGTAAGTATTCGAATGAGAGAAGACCTTTTGTTCTCTTCACTGCTTTTATGAGGAAAGGTACCAAATGGGGTCGGAAGGGAAGAAGATGTTGAAGGGAGAAAAAAAAAATGGAGATTAAAATTGTGAAGGCAGATTCTTTAGGGTTGAATGGAAGGGAATAATTTTTTGTTAGATTCAGTATTTAGTGGATTTTAATTTTCTCGGCTGCGAAATTTAAGTGTTTAAGTGTTAAGTCATATGTCATAAATTTCGATGATGAAGGCTGAAGTAAGTGAACGGCTTCACGGAAGGTCCTAGTATGAAAGTTCCGGTGGTATGATTTTGGATTTTGGAGAGAAAATGTCACCAAAAAAGTCACAGCAAAAGAGTTTCAATCATACATACGATCTATTATGGTTATAATTTTTCCTCAAATTGAGATCGCATTACTATTGTAGATATTTCGGGTCTTGTATGTATTTAAGTGAGTGTATCTATGAAGCACAGTTACCTACCACCTACCACCTACCACCTATCACCCATCTACCTAGATATTTGGGTAATTGACAACAGTCCATTCATCCAGAAGTAACCATATAAGTACGAGATCTAGGTATTTTCTCGAGGCATATTATATATATATATATATGTATGTATATGTACACGAGGTATATATGCAACCTCGGCCTCATCAATCATATCATATTATATCATATCAATTCAATTCATTCCATTCCATCACATCACCTAGGTACATTACCACATTGCCTGTATATATACCCGGTTGTGCATTGTACCTGGGTAGGCTCAAGCTACTTACTACCTGGTAGGAAGCGGTAGTGGATCAATCATTTAATGTTACTCGCGATACATTATTCATCCCCCGGTGAGTGAGCTCATCAGATCCAAGTCAACTGGCGATAAACAGCCAGTCACTGGTAGCCAGAGGGAAAAGCCTTACAGACTGCAAACGGCACATTCGTCCATCTCTCCCCCTCCTTCTTCCTATCTAATCAACGATACTCGTATGCCCACCGTAGAGCCTCCCTAGGCACTTCAGTCATCAGGGCTGTAAACCCAGTACTAATAAGTACTCATCTACGTTCAATATGAGGACCAGTCATCAATACAAAAATGGCTATTCCAACGTGACATAAGTTAATCACGATTACTACGAGTGTTAACACATGAAACAACCTGCATCGATGTATCGCGTTTCATTGCTGTGGTCGAAGTAAGAACTTTACATACTCACATTCGCATAAATGAGCGTGCGAACAATGGCTTTATATCTTCCCTCTTTTATATAAACTTAAAATAATTGTACTCGAGTATCACGCTATCACAAGCTATTGACCTACATGAGTAAAGTCATTCTCTTGATTGTATTGAATTACATTATTGCCATTGATATTGCTATTCATCAATAAGCTTCTGAAGCCATCCCTTGACAGCAACACTTTGGTAGGTAGCCGAAGATAACTACGATGTAGGTAAATGCTTCCTTCCCTGAGCCCTCATCCCCATTTTCAAATCCAGCCACAATGTAATGAATGAGGGGTTGAAAATCTTCATTCAATTTTGTCAATGTCAACCTAGGTGATTTCCTCTTTCTCTTACCTGCATACAGAGTGGATCTGTTTTCCCGCCTTTTCATTGGAGAGGTTTGGTGACTCTCTAAAGCTTCCCATTTCTCTTTTAACCTCACATTCATGAACTTTCCCACTTCCCATCTTTCATTCTTCATTCCCCCACAAAAAACACACACACACACACACACACATGCCGTACATCCCTTCCCCGAGAAATCTGAAATCCAAAGTAAGTCTTACATACGTACTTTCTCCATACTTACTGACTTACATACAGCACGGAGTCTCTCGACCTGAAATTCGGTATCGGAATGACCATGTTGTAATCAATCAAGCTGGATCTCGCGCCTACCAACTAAAAAGAAGAATCATCGCATCCAAAAATAATAATCAATGGAGGAAAGGTGTGCGGGCGTAAGTCAGTGTGTATCCACACCAAAAAATTACCCCTCCATTATCTAGATAATGGTATCGTATCCACCTGGTCATCGCCACCGTATCATTGATCGTATCTGGCAATCATCATGCCCACGCCCGCCCCCCTCATTCTGGCCCATTGTACCAATGTGATAAATTCATGCTGTCGAATTATGATGATCTATCTTTGCATCCGATTGTCTTATGAAAAGAGTTCAGCAGCCTTATGGAAAGAGATATGGCGCTACACACTCTACAAGCGGTGAATGTACTGAGTAGATCTATCGTGGAAAAAGGTTGTGGGCAGATCTTTGAGGTGATGGCATCTTCTCAAACTTATACGATCGCGAAAGCACATATACCTATGATGACTACATTTGTATTTGTACTTTATGATTCAGAGTCCCAAAGCCATCTCATTTCTTTCTGATTCAAAGATGTCAAGCCATCTCATTTAATGTGAAGTAACATCTCCACGATGATGATATTTATATCCATCCGTGCTTCAAGGTTCAAACTTTAAAGTTATCTTACATTAGTTACCTACCTATCATGAAGCAACATCACATTACCAAAATCCAGACCGCAATTCTATAGAATCTTCAGACGAAGGGGCCAGCTCCGAGATACTCATTCGTAGAGTGCAAATCCCAATCACCGGGTTACCGAACCCCACACACTTTCTTCACGATACCTCTCATTCCCCGTTTTCGTGAAGCCGACTATCTAATCTGCGAATGACGACATCTGAGATCCCTCTTCAATGAGCGCTTTTCCTTAAATGTAATCTCCGCGCCAGCGATACATATCCTTTTGGTCGACTCGCATACACTTGCAAGCATTGGGAAGATCTTGTGTCACCATCGTCTGCAACCACTCCTCTTCCTGCATATACGCAGAGAGAAGGTCGGTACCACTACATAACTCGAGAGAACTTATTATGTCACTTCCTTCAAACGAGATGCTGCATGCAGGTGAAAGGTTACAGAAGCTTCTCTTCGTTCACGGATAACTTCCGACATATCCACATCATTTGATACGTACATTGATACACTGATACAAACCTCATAGAAAGAGACGTCAAAATGATTACTATGGCATGAAAATGGGTATGTGCTAGATCTACAAAATTGCCGCTTCAAAGGAATGCTTGATTTGATTCCGCTGCTTTAACCTGACATCCACGCAGCTGCTCTATTAACTCCGAAGTTTGTCGCCAGTCGAAGACCACTAGAACCCATTGGGAAATAGCTGACCAGATACCAAGTCAAGCAGATTATTTGGATAATCGCCGAGATCAAGGTCAACGGCTTGCTTCGAAGCTACACACAAGATTAGATTATTAGAAGATGGTGGGAACAAGTATCAATGTAAATACTTACGCCTAGACTGAAATATAGGGTCAACGCAATAGATCCGAAATAAGTCGCGGTAAACGGAAGGCGTGGCGCTGATATCAGGTGGTTCATGTACGTCCACGGGCCCATCATCGCGGCCCATGATGCGAGGAATAGCATTGAACCTAGGGTCCATCTAGATGTCACACGCTCCAAGTTAGTTTTGAGGGTGTAGATGTATACATCTTAACTTCGTAATCCTTCAAAGTCTTAAGCCATTCATTGATGCTTGAGTAGTATCATGACTGATCGACAAACTTTAAGCTCCATACGCAATGCCCGACGCGTAGTTGCATGGACGCGAGGTTGCTAAAGGCTTGGAGTACTGCAATTCGTATTTGACGAAACTTGCAGGACATGTGTTTCAGATGGCAAGGAAAGTGAGACTTACAAAATCGCAAACTTGGTTGGAAGAACGATCAGGTACGGGAATAAGACGAAACAAATAACAAAACAGGCCAATGCACCGATATTAAACCCAGCAAAGAGTAAAAGTCGATCCCACCTACTCACTGAGTATAAGAAAATCAATAGTCAGTCAGCCTTCAAATAAGCAATTTTTGGAAGTAACACAAAAAGACAGTCAAGCCACACTGGTAAACGACGCCACTGTACGTCGGACCAGGTGGCGGCGGATGCAGGGACAGTGCAACGTGTGGGGAAGTGAGAAAGTTAGGTAGGTTGACTTACAGGCAAACCATCCTTCTTCTTCTTCGCGGCGGTTTCGACCAGGTAGAGGCGCACCCGCACCCTCTGTGGTAGGCAGTCGAACATAGCCACTGTCTCCAAATGGATTCAGCGATTTTATCGAGGATAATAGGCCACCGGTCTGCTGAGCAGTGTTTACGGGTAGGTCCGGGTCGCGACGCGACCAGCCTAAGGAATTCATGGAATCTCTGAAGGAGGAGGAAGCCATGGTCGCGATGATCTTTCGGTAGTTATGGCTATATGTAGGACTGATATTGTTTCCCCACCCCTGTCGTTTCTTTCGCAGATGCCGTGAATGTTCAAGATAAGGTAGGTAATTGATCCGAGTTCAAGAACCTAGTTTAGAGATGGACCGAAGAGATGCGATCGATTCGGGGTATTTTGTTGAAGAAAATACGGCCGTTTATGTCCTACTCAGTATAATTTGTCTGCAGGTATGTCGTGCGTTAATCGACCTCGTGGAAAGAATGCGACTGGTTTCTTTGCAAATGTTGAAAAGGGGTGTCCAATGACCTTTTCAACGGACAGGGTTTTGGGTGAATGGAATATCTCTATGCAATGCGAGATCTCCTCGTGACCACTCTAGAGGCTCTTAATGATGAAATCGAATAATGGATGTCTGATGAAGGTGGGATCTGAGGACAGTTTGTCGCAGTCAGCAGGAATGGGGTGTGGTGTGGTGGTATAGCTTCTAAGGATTGATCGGAATGAAGAGCAATAAGCGCTCTTTTTTAGCTTTGGGCTCAAGTTGTATGCGATAAGCCCTTGTATTTTATTTTCGAATTATTATGGTGGGTTCTTTTTATCGCTGGTGGTGGTGGAAGAGTCAGGTTTAGGTGTAGGTGGTATTGTTGATAGGCAATCATGGGAAAGCTTATGATGATGGGAAGTTGTTGCTTTGACGCTAAAAGTATCTCACATAATATGCCGCTAGTCGGTAGGGGGTTTGGAAATGTACCGGTACACAGACGCCCTTGACGAACCAGCCAGTCCAGTTAATGAGTGACAAGAACGATTTAACTACTATTATCAGGTCACACAGTATTTATTCACCTAGTAGCGTATAGTGTAGTCAGATCTGGTGAAATCTGAATCCATGGAAGTAGAACCAAGTGGAAAGTCGCAACTGTATGCTATTATACATTTACGCGCAGGAGGAGTACGAAATATCTGTACCCGAAAATAGTATTGTGGCACAGTCTTAGAGTAGATGTCCACCTACATCCAGTCCAATGCATAGTAGCCTATTCCTCTTCAAGGCCATAGGAATCCCGCAAGTCTTGCATGATTCCCTACCTCACATACCTTATCGAGCTTGCGTATTAGCGTGTGGTTCAACTCTGAGACATTCAACCCTCCATTGCAATCTTTTTGGGCAAGGTAGCAAATACCGGACATGGATTAATAGATCTGATTAAGGTTGGAAAGATGCAAATGTAGAAGCGAGAGGGTGTGAAGAGGCATGAAAAGGTGTGGATGGTGGTTCGCTAGGTTCGAGAGGATGGGAAAGTATGAGTCTTCGATACCATTTACTTCTGATTATTGAGTGAAACCTCCCCAACCTTTTAATAAAATCTTGGAAAACCTGGTAGAGACTACTTTCAAACCTTTCTGCAAAGTCAAGTGACTTGAGGTTGTATGCACGAGTGAAGAACATAAAAGGATATCCTCGCCTCCTGAACCTCTCAACTTCTTCCAACCAAATTACCGAAGTTTGAGCCACCGTCGACTTCTTCTCCCTACTTACGACCTAGGTATTCAGCCTGAAGTCCTTTACACTGGCTGCATAACATTTGTGTACACTTGCACAAACAGCTACAAGATCAATAGCCTCAAACTCAACTTTGATATCAGTCATCCTTCGCTACCTTTCAAACCGAGGTCTTGGTACTACAAGCTACAAGCTACAAACTACAAGCTACATACTACATACTACATACTACACACATACTCTCGACCTTACCTGACTTCACTCCTCTCTTCGATATTGGATTGGACTACCTACCTATTTTATCCCGTCTTACCCAATCGTGTAAGACTTTCGGTTGCACCATCTCATCTCATTTGCTTGTATCAACGGCCGACTTCCTCAAGGTTTTCAGAAGTGGAAGCTTGCACCCGTTTCACCGGACAGGCTGAACTCCATTCTAACACACGTCTTGCCGGTCTTGTCGGCGACATATCAGATTATTGAATTTTCTGGATCTCACTCCTACGCTCTCACGGAAACAAGGAAACAAGGAAACGAACATTACCTTTCTTTACCGATAAAGATTTGGCTTTCGTTGCTACCTAGATCCTTCGAACCCTTTCTGCCACTACGAACCCTTCTTACAACATTTTCGGATTTTGCGGAGGAGATCTTTATCTGCTTTATGTATTTATTTATCTGTCTATCTATCGATCGACTGGGTATCTAACTATCTAATCCTTATCAATTATCTACCCCGCCATTCAAAATAAGCTCCTTGGAAGCATTTTGGCGACGGAACAATCGATTGCATTCCTTCTTTGCCATTCTGATTCGCAAAGAGCTCCATATTCTTGGAAAATACGGTACTTGACTCCCAATTTCCTTCTCCTTGCTTGCTTGCTCTTCTATCTTTCCTTGGCTTCCCAGCTATCTCATTCGTTGAATGGGCAGAAGCAAAAAATATATACAACCAGTACCACGTCTGACAAGAATTAATAAAGAAGCCCTCGCTCTTCTTCTTAGCCCAATCAGAAAACTAATTGAGAAAAGATTGTCCTACATTTTAGAAAGTCCATCATCCATCTTTTACTCTCGGTCGGTCAAATTATTACACGCGAGCATCTTTGATCGCCTTGGTACTTCGAGTTACCCTCATGCGATTTATTCATTTCTGCTATTCTATATGACAGATAATAATAAGACTGGAATCTATTCCATATTAAGTTAGGAATTCTATGCCATTAATTCCCACGAAATCGCCCCTCAATTGCTTCTACCAGGTATCTATAAAGAAGAAGCTTGGGACCCGACCCGATCAACTTCCTCTCAACCTATCAATACTTGCTTGACTCATGTAGTCACATCTACAACATATACAGACACACACATATACATGCACTCACACACACATATATACATGTAACAACATAATTCATTCCTCCTTACACCACCCACTCTCCTACGATTATTCACATATACATACATACATATATATATACAGCAAGGTACCACTTACCATTGACCACTCACCACTCACCACTCACCACTCACCATTTACCACCAACATTTCTGCGAAACATCGAGGAGATCGAATCAAAAAGCAATCCGACAGCAATCCGATACCTCTCCGACAACCTACAGTTTCTCCCCCTTCTGCAATCAATAAATTCACCGAAGCATTCTTCCATTTCCAGATTTGACATCGCTAGACGCGGTTCATTCGTCATTACATTACGCCAAGTCCCGAATTGACCGACCATCCCACCCCGGATTTCCAAAGAACAAGGGAAAGAAAGGAAGGAAAATCTCATTTCACTCACCATCGAAGAATCCGAACCAATAAATCCATTCAGAAACGGGAAAAAGGGCCAAGAAGAGGAATCCGGTCGAGGAAAAGAAAGGATTCGAATCTAGTGAATTAATTAATACTTGGTACAGAATACAGACGACAGACAACAGAGAACCTAGGTAAATAAAAATCCGCAAGTCTTGTTACCTCCTTACCACCCTTCCTCCGTCCCTCCCTCCCTCCCTTCCTCCCTCTCTCCCTACTACAACTGCACTCTCACTGCACTCCACTGCACATCCAAGTTCGCAATCAATTTACGCCTCAACCTCAACCTAGTACCATTCAATTCTAACCTTCACACTTGAACATTTAGGGAAATTTCAGGGAATAAAAACTCAAAACAATTATTCAATCTTAGTCTTTTTTTTCTCTCACACTGCGTTGCGTTGCGCTGCGCTAAAAAAAAGATTTCATTCCATAAAGGATATTTACTTTAATCATTTCCTGCCCTCTTCCTCCATCGACATCTTACAAGAAACTTCTTTCCTATCGATTTTTGGTGTCATCACACAAAAACATTCGAATGCTCATTCTCAACGAAAGAAATTAAATGTTCTTCGACTTCTTAAATCAATCAGTCAATAGAAATCACCCCGTGCAACCCTCGGCCATCACTACCGAGAGCTAGAAAGAAAAGGTTATCCCTCCCTCCCCCCCCACCGCCTTTCAACGAAATATCGTGAGTTATCCCACACAACGGCTGTTTTGGCACACATTTTTGGGAAATTCCTCTCCCCAATCATAACTTCTCCGCCTTTTTCTAGCGCACTCTAGAAAAGGTAACCTTCCTTCCCCTCTTGAGTTGACAACTCAATTATCCTTCACTCATTCTTCTCCCATCAATTTTTACTTTGCGAGGACTCATCAAAGGAAGAAGAAAGATAGAATACTAACAATCTATCGGACAAGGCCCCCTCGCGATAAATAAATTTATCACTTCGCCCTACCTGCCTTATCAGCCAAATCAAAGACCACATAACCGTCGTGGCCCTTATTAATCCAACAACAAAGCTCAGAGGACTGCAAAAAGTTCGATAGCATTTATTTACTCAGGAGTCAGCATCAGCTTCATTGCCGCTTACATCTTCGAAACTCGACAACCGTCTGCCCGCATGTAAGTGCGCATCCTTTTTCCATATATGCATGTTCCCCCCTATGACGACTTGGCAAATAAAACACTCTGCATTGTGGTCATATAGCATGATCATTGGTTCTGCGAACAAATATTTTGTCATCTCGTAAGGTAATTAATTACAAGCATAGTATCAATTCCGTGGCAAATCTGGGGATATGCTTGTTTCTCATTCGAAATTGGCTTTTTTGAACCTTTGACAATGGCTAACGTTTGTCACACACATAGATAACGATCACCTTTTGTTCAAAAGAGGTACAAATACAAACCAACAACCACGTACAAGACATATAACTTCCTCAAAGACCTTGTAGTCAGGCGTCAGAATAGCTAAAATGGCTGGCACGGGTGCATTAAGCCCGTTTATCAAAGACGAGCCCGATGATCAATTCTTCTCTTCTCACAACCAAAGATTCATGTCGAACCCACAAAGCTTTGGTCTTACGCAGACACACTTCAATCAATTCGGCTCACATGGAGGCAGCATCAATCCCAATGATTTGAATGTTGGCAGCAATGCCATGTCTATTCCAAACAGTGGATACGGCACCTCGTTCCAGAACAACTTTACTCAGCCATCGAACCCAAGCGCAAGCTTCTCAAAGGGCATCTCAACTTTTGGCGATGACGAATTGCTAGATAGTCTAGACACCTTGAACACTCACGGTGGCATGCAGAACGGAGGTCAAGACTTCGGCATGGAATTCGACTTTAACAACGGACACAACATCTATGCAAGCAATAATGGAAATGGCTTGGCTGTTGACCCAAACATGAATGGCTATTCGAATACTCCAGATGGCGATCCTATCCAGAGTCCCTTTGTTCACAATTTCAACCATGCGCAATTTAGACATATGCAGACCCAACACAACTTTGGCTCGTCGCTGCAGTCCCCTGCTTCATACGCAGGTTCGCCGTTAAGCGGTGCGGATTTGCACAATGGAGCTGGAGACAGCAACTTTACCAAGCAACAACGGCCAAGATTGAGTCAAGTGGGATCTGGAAGAAGGCAATCGAGCACTAGAAGTCCACTGACACCGAAAACTCCTGTGATATCATCTCTCAATATTGGATCAACAGATCACTCGAGCTTTCCTTCTCAGCCGATTCGCACCAATCATGTCCACCGACACCAAAAAACCTCATCTAATCAATGGGATCAGCCACCGAATAGCCTTGGTTCCTTCCCAGGCTCCGAGTTCGGTTCGCCTATCCAAGGAGTTCATCCAAATCCTCAAATTTCCGACATTCTTAAGGGTACTTCGATGCCAACCAAACTCAACAATGGCCACGGGACAGCGAATGCACCTGGTTTACAATCCCAAGAAATGAAGAGAAGACGTCGACGGGAATCACACAACCTTGTTGAGAGAAGAAGGCGAGATAACATCAACGAGCGCATTCAGGAATTGAGTCATCTTGTTCCCTTGCATCGACTTGAGGATGAGAAGGTACGCAAGGCCATTATGAACAATTCTCCTCTGTCGCCAAGCCTCACGGCTGTATCACAACCACCAAATGGAATAAGCCCTCCCCAAGCTACCTCGGGCCTTGCTGGCCCTGGTGCCAGGAGAGCCACAGGTAATATTACTACCGGTATTCCGATCGAGGAGAAAGACAAGGGTCCAAATAAGGGCGACATTCTTAATGGTGCCGTAAGCTGGACTAGAGATCTTATGTGGATGTGTCATCATCAGGCTCAACAAATGGAAGATCTAGCCAATCTCATCGCTGAATTGGGAGGAACATGGCCATACGAGAAAACTGAAGATGAGAAGCGCATGCATACCGAATTGATGGATGCTATGACGAAGAATGGTGAAGCTAGTTTCGAATACACCAGACGTCCAGGTACAGGTTTAAGGGTACCTAAACATACCGACTATAGAGGTGAACCAGACCGTGGCTCCAACTTCTCTCAGCTCGACAACTCACTGAGCCCAGACAACCATAGCAGTACAGATGTTGGTCAAACTGGTATGGGTGGTCCAGGTCAATACTGGAGTGGACACAATAGTGGAGGCAGCGGTCCTGGCTCTATTGGTGGCTTCAAAGAAGAGGATGAATACAACATGGATCTCGGACAATGAGGAATCCATACTGTTGTTCTATGAGCAATTCATTGTTCAGATGTGGGAGAATTTCTTACAGTTTTTAAGGCAAAGCAACAAGGAATTGGTTACCAGTCTGCATACACTTTTTCGCTTCGCATTTGTGTTTTTAAATTACTGGTGTTTTCATCTTTGCATTTAATGGTAGTTATGGGGCTTGATTTGGCTTGGTGTTGCTTGCGGTTTGAACATTGCTCGCAGAAGGCGAGTCAATCATGTGGATGGAATATGGATACTAATGGCTTTGACGATAATGGCTTTGACGATAAGGGTTGGAATTTATAATTTGTTGGAGATGGATATTGGTTTCACTTACATGCATCACTTTTTTTTTTTTTGGTTTTGGTTTTACTATCTACTTGCATCTATCTTTGCGGTCTGGGCTCCTTCACATGATACCTGTGCATCGGAATACCGATGTTTGCCTGTTGTTTTTCCTATGTTACTTGACGACTGGATGGAATCACGACTAAATGGGTTTACGAGTATATGGACTGGATCGACAGTATTGAATGGGGCTCTTTTTCCAGCATTTGATTTGTTACCTATTTTCTTTTAACCCCTGCACAATACATTAGCTAGTTTAGTTAGTACTTGTCATCTATTCTGCCCTTCTGGTAGATTGGATTTCAAGAGATATTCACAAGTTGCTTATCAACGAATGAAATATACGAAATGCACCCCACTCTATTGGTTTGCTACATGGTTCTTTGCATGCAATTTCATTTTTCTCCGTCCCGTCCACTGCTTCTTTACCCCTCCTTTTGTTGAGGGCCCACTACTTGACATTGGGGTACTGAGAGATCCGTGAGGTGTATGCATGTTGATAAGCGTGTATTTATGTATGCCCTCTAAGCGCACCCTCCAGCTATCGAACAGATCCATGGTATGCAAGAGATCTCTTCCAGAGGTGGGTTCTAATGGACGGCAAGGAAAGCGGAGTGTGTTGTGTTTATATTGAGTTTCGGATCTAGGTAAATGGTCCCAATATTGACAATTTAATAAATGGATTTTAAACCTCAAACCCTGAGGTTTGAATGGATGTAGGTGTGCATATGTGAGAACTTCGGGCAGGGATTAAATGGGGTTGTTGGGGTAGGATCAGGAGTTCAGCTGGTGGGGGGGGTTAAATTTGTGCTTGCTTTTGATGGGATTTCTATTCCGGGTGAAAATTGGATTAGGGGATCTGTAATGGGAAATTGGGAATGGATTTGATGCAGATTAAAACAACAGAAAAGTGGTTTTGCTTGGTCCTTCTTCTCGTCTGTCGGGGAGAGTAAAAGTAGACGAAGGGAAAGTGGAAGTAGAAGAGAAAGAGAGATCAAGGGTCGATTGAATAAGAGTAGAGTTAATACAAATATAGCGTAGAATAGCTTTAATATTCTCGGTACTGTAAGCTACCTATACTTTATCTCATACGATCAGATACGTCTCTAATCGAATGATTTATAGATTTATAGATTTTTAGATTTTTAGAGTTATAGATGTGCGGGTTTACGGATTTATTGATTAGTTCTGATTATTTACAAACAATATAATAGTAGTAGCGGTGTGATACTTATGAATTTTCTACAAGTTGGTGGTACAAGGCTAATTCTAGAAAGTGATTTATCTGAAACATAATGCTAAATGTTCGAAGATTTTAATAAGTGTAAGAATATCCTAAGATTAAATTTTAATATCAAAGCCATTTATAACACTAGATGAAATGATTATATTCAGAGTACAAAACAAGAGTATTATACAACATTCTTTTTAAAATGCGATCTTCCAAAAAAATTTGATCGAATTTCTATTTATTATGGATATTGCTAAGAAAATTGAAACTCAGTAAATTTAATGAAATCAATTTAAACGAAAATAAAGCTTTTTGACAGAAGTGCTTGTTCTATTAGTAATAAGTTCTATTATAAAATTCAGATTCTAAGTATGTTTATAACAACCAAAACTGATAAACTTGTTAATAGTTTTATTTCACTTGATTGCAATATATTTAAGGAACTAATGGATCCTAATATAGAGGTTAATTAAAAGAAATCTAATGCATCATAAATTAGATCTAAATTTATAACTAATTGTTTTTCGTACTGATGAATTATAACTTTATATTCCACCAGTATTTTCTTCAATGGTTTAATTAAAGTGACACAGAAAAATGGAAATTATATCAAAAAAAAAGTTGAGATTATGTTGTTTAAATTAATGATAATGATTTTTTATAAGAATCGTTTACTAAATCATTTTTTTATAGAAAGAAGTATCAAAGTTATGGTGAAGAATTGAAAGAAAATTCAAGGAGGACTCATATTTTGATGGTAACAAATAAAAAATTGTTTGATAGTTTAACTGACGAACAAATAATATTGAATGATTAAATACATATAATAATATAAGTTTTAGTTTCATTCAATATAATGATAAATGAAACAACTTTTGTATTCTTGTATGTTTGAAGGAGATCATTATAGAAACGAAAATAATTCCGAATAATAATAAAAACTTGATTGTAAAAATAAATGGTAACATTGTGATCTATATATTGAGCATTAAATTATTACGGTTCACTTTATACGTTTTATGCTATGATTGAATATCATCAGGTTTTTGGATTATACTCAAACCCGCGAATTGATAAGAAAATTGTATTTATTAAGTTTGGAAATCCCTAAGAATTTGAAAGTATCTTTATTTAACAATCCTTTTAATAATTCTTATATACAAGATTTTTTGAAAGGTTTTAAATATTCGTAATCATTAAAAAGATCTCTTACTTTATTATTATATATAAAATTAAATATAATTATTTCAAAAGGATTTATTCAAAATTATTAATAATATCGAAGTGATTAAAATGAGTTTAATATGAATTTCCGTTTTTATTGTACTATTTCTCATGGAAGTATGATTGATTTATGAATGAGAGAATCTTGGATTAGCAAAGAGCTTATATTGGTCAAAAAATCTATATGAATTTTTTTAATTTTTTTTTTAATGAGTTTATCTATATTATTTTCTGAAAGTTAAATTTTACTCGATATGTTATGTTAATATAAGAGACTCTGATTATTTATAGAGATCATCCAATTAAGGCGTTAAATTTATATAGATATTCATAGTATGTTTCTATATATTCTCCAGTATTTATTATAACATTGCTTTTTCATTTCCTTTATTTGCCTTATTAGTTTGTTGAGTACCAAAGTTTATTAATAGAATAAACCCAACATTATATATCTTAATAGTTTTTGTTGACCAAAGTACATATGATCCAAAACAATATTCATAATCAGAGGATGGTTGATTTAGAAATTACAATAAAGCTACGGAGGAAGATTCAAGAAAAAAACAAAATGATTATTGAATCAAGAGGAAAGAACTCATAAAATCAAATTGAAATCGAGAGACTTTTGAAACTTTTTAATATTGAATGAATGCTTTCGGTTGATTTGGGGATTAGGGTGGGGGGGGGGGGGGGCAATAAAAAGATAAAATATCTCAGGTTTGGAAACAGAAGTTAAATGAAAATTCACTTATGGAAGAAGATGGATTAAATGATTCATTAGGGGATATAGTAGTTTTTTGAGTAGACCTTCCAATAAATCTTTCCATGAATCTTTTAATATATCTTTGGATGATTTATATAGTCTAAGTAGTCCAGATGATTATAATACTTCTAATAAATTAAATAAATTAAATAAATTAAATGAGTTTAAATATTTTTTATACTTGTCTGCTATTCAAAATATGGCCAACCACCCGTAGGTAGTTGATACAGCAGAACTTGGTTATACCGGAATGAAAAATTCGATCAATCAAATTCGATATAAAGAAGATTCTAATATATATGATAGCAATCTAAGTGTTGTGTATAATTTATATTGGATTTCATTTGTAATTTTATGAAAAATTATGTGATAACAGTCAGTTTTGTTTATTCAATTAGAAAAAAACCTTATTCAATTGAATTTACTATAAGACTTATACCGGATTCATGAAAAATTAGTTTAGTATTTTGATTTTACTCAAAAATCCGGAATCGCTATCTAAAAATTGGTAAAATCAGGAAATTACTCCGATATATCCAAAGTTCCAATATATCCCAATCCGGTATAGCCAAGTTCTACTATAGCACCAAATCTGACCTACAGCAACCCTAACATAATAAAGTTGTTTCATAAATCAATAATAAATCAACCACTCATAACATCATAAAAACAAAAAATGAAAATGATTATTACAGTAATCTTAATATGAATACTAAGAATTTCAACCAAACCATAACAATAAAAAAATAAATACAAAATTAATTATAAGCTATATTTTATTTAAAACTTCAAAATTGAAAGATTAATTTTCCAGAATTTTTGAAAAATATCATATTTTATCACATTCCAAAACATTAAAAAACACAACAACAACAACCTTTAATTACTTATATATTACTGAAAATTAATGAATTAATTCAGAACTTGATCAAAACTACAACTCCCACTAAAATTTAATATTATAAAATATACAATTGATTCACTATCAACTTATAAAATGATTTTCATTATGTCAGATTTACGGCAAATCAAAATTAATACTACCAACCACCTTAAAATGGCCAACAGAATTTTCTGATAACCAACAAATAGTTTTTTTTAGATTTTTGAGATTTTTTAAATTTCTTAAATTTCTTCCATATCTTAAATCTCTTAGATTTTTAAAACCCCTCAAATTTTTTAGGTTTGCTAAATTTTCTTGAATTTCTTAGATTTTAATATTTTATATAAGCCTGAAACAAAGAGTAAATAAAGATAGGGATTTTTATATTATTGTTTCTTTTATTCTTCTTTTCAATGTTTAGTCTTATTATTAGTTTTTGTCTTTTACTTCTTTTTTTTGGCTAATTTTATCAAACAAAAGTTTGAATCTTAGATCGAACTTACTCCATATAAGCCAATATAAAACTACGAATAATCTGATTCTATATTTAC